GGATTTATTGCATTTTTAAAATCTGGATTACTCAAATGATACCTGCTTTTGTAGATTAAACAATTAACTATTAATATCACAACATTTCTCCGTTCTTCAAAAATTGAAGAGTTTGAAAAAAATATAAAGGATTCGTGCTAACCTCACACCTTGATCATTTTGATAAAATTGGAGATATTTGATGATATAAAAAAAAAACACCCTGTCATACGAATTAAAGATATTTTTGTAATGGCTGTCTATAAATCAGGTGATATCTATCGAAAATATATGTAAGCGTAATATTGCTAAACTATTGAATAGATGTTATTTAAACGAGACATACACAAAGCTGACATGATAACGGAAATTAGCATTTGTTGTATACACTTAGACTTGGAACGAATCCCACACCACGAGCTGTATTTGTGTATTACATCGTCACCATATAATACATTTGTGTGCCCCACTACCACCCTACCCCACCCCACCCCACCCCAACCATCCCCTTCCCTCTTTGACTAGTTTCTGTTTACTTCGGCAATCTTTCCACTTGTTTCTGTTTACATGGGCATTCTTTTAACTAGTTTAGATTTTCCTTGGCAATCTTTTGACTGGTTTCAGTTTTCCTTGGCAATCTTTTGACTGGTTTCAGTTTTCCTTGGCAATCGTTTGACTGGTTTCAGTTTTCCTTGGCAATCTTTTGACTGGTTTCAGTTTTCCTTGGCAATCTTTTGACTGGTTTCAGTTTTCCTTGGCAATCTTTTAACTAGTTTCAGTTTTCCTTGGCAATCTTTTGACTGGTTTCAGTTTTCCTTGGCAATCTTTTAACTAGTTTAGATTTTCCTTGGCAATCTTTTAACTGGTTTCAGTTTTCCTTGGCAATCTTTTAACTGGTTTCAGTTTTCCTTGGCAATCTTTTGACTGGTTTCAGTTTTCCTTGGCAATCTTTTGACTGGTTTCAGTTTTCCTTGGCAATCTTTTAACTGGTTTCAGTTTTCCTTGGCAATATTTTAACTAGTTTCAGTTTTCCTTGGCAATCTTTTGACTAGTTTCAGTTTACGTGGACAATCTTTTGACTTATTTCTGTTTACATGGGCAATCTTTTGACTGATTTCTGTTTATGTGGGCAATATTTTGACTTATTTCTGTTTACGTGGGCAAACTTTTTTACTGATTTCTCTTTACGTGGACAATCTTTTGACTTATTTTTGTTTACGTGGGCAATATTTTGACTGATTTCTGTTTACGTGGTCAATATTTTTGACTGATTTCTGTTTACGTGGTCAATATTTTTGACTGATTTCTGTTTTCTAGGCAAACATTTGACTGATTTCTGTTTACGTGGGCAAACTTTTTTACTGATTTCTGTTTACATGGGCAAACTTTTGACTGATTTCTGTTGATGTGGGAAATCTTTTGACTTATTTCTGTTCACAAGGCAAATATTTAACTGATTTCTGTGTACGTGGGCAATCTTTTGACTGATTTCTGTTTACGTGGGCAATATTTTTGACTAATTTCTGTTTACTAGGCAAACATTTAACTGATTTCTCTTTACGTGGGCAATCTTTTGACTGATTTCTGTTTACGTGGGTAGTCTTTTAACTGATTTCTGTTTACGTGGGCAATATTTTTGACTAATTTCTGTTTACTAGGCAAACATTTAACTGATTTCTCTTTACGTGGGCAATCTTTTGACTGATTTCTGTTTACGTAGGTAGTCTTTTAACTGATTTCTGTTTACGTGGGCAATATTTTTGACTAATTCCTGTTTACTAGGCAAACATTTAACTGATTTCTCTTTACGTGGGCAATCTTTTGACTGATTTCTGTTTACGTGGGCAATATTTTGACTGATTTCTGTTTACGTGGGCAATATTTTTTACTAATTTCTGTTTACTAGGCAAACATTTGACTGATTTCTATTTACATGGGCAATCTTTTGACTTATTTCTGTTTACTGATTTCTGTTTCTGTTTACGTAGGTAGTCTTTTAACTGATTTCTGTTTACGTGGGCAATATTTTGGACTAATTCCTGTTTACTAGGCAAACATTTAACTGATTTCTCTTTACGTGGGCAATCTTTTGACTGATTTCTGTTTACGTGGGCAATATTTTGACTGATTTCTGATTAAGTAGGCAATATTTTTGACTAATTTCTGTCTACATGGGCAATCTTTTGACTGATTTCTGTTTATGTGGGCAATCTTTTGACTGATTTCTGTTTAAATGGTCAATATTTTTGACTAATTTCTGTTTACTAGGCAAACATTTAACTGATTTCTGTTTACATGGGCAATATTTTGACTGAGTTTTGTCTACGTGAACAATCTTTTGACTGATTTCTGTGTACGTGGGCAATCTTTTGACTGATTTCTGTTTACGTGGGCAATATTTTTGACTAATTTCTGTTTACTAGGCAAACATTTAACTGATTTCTGTTTACGTGGGCAATATTTTTGACTAATTTCTGTTTACTAGGCAAACATTTAACTGATTTCTGTTTACGTGGGCAATCTTTTGACTGATTTCTGTTTACGTGGGCAATCTTTTGACTGATTTCTGTTTACGTGGGCAATATTTTTTACTAATTTCTGTTTACTAGGCAAACATTTAACTGATTTCTCTTTACGTGGGCAATATTTTGACTGATTTCTGTTTACGTAGGCAATATTTTGACTGATTTCTGTTTACGTGGACAATCTTTTGACTGATTTCTGTTTAGGTGGGCAATCTTTTGACTGATTTCTGTTTAGGTGGGCAATCTTTTGACTGATTTCTGTTTAAATGGTCAATATTTTTGACTAATTTCTGTTTACTAGGCAAATATTTAACTGATTTCTCTTTACGTGGGCAATCTTTTGACTGGTTTCTGTTTACGTGGACAATTTTTTGAATTATTTCTGTTTACGTGGGCAATATTTTGACTGATTTCTGTTTACGTAGGCAATATTTTGACTGATTTCTGTTTACGTGGACAATCTTTTGACTTATTTCTGTTTACGTGGTCAATACTTTTGACTAATTTCTGTTTACATGGGCAATCTTTTGACTGATTTCTGTTTACATGGACAATCTTTTGACTGATTTCTGTTTATGTGGGAAATCTTTTGACTTATTTCTGTTCACTATGCAAACATTTAACTGATTTCTCTTTACGTGGACAATCTTTTGACTGATTTCTGTTTACGTGGTCAATACTTTTGACTACTTTCTGTTTACATGGACAATCTTTTGACTGATTTCTCTTTACGTGGGCAATCTTTTGACTGATTTCTGTTGATGTGGGCAATATTTTGACTGATTTTTGTTTACGTGGGCAATATTTTGACTTATTTCTGTTTACGTCGGCAATCTTTTGACTGATTTCTGTTTATGTGGGAAATCTTTTGACTTATTTCTGTTCACTATGCAAACATTTAACTGATTTCTGTTTATGTGGACAATCTTTTGACTAATTTCTGTTTACGTGGACAATCTTTTGACTGATTTCTGTTTACGTGGTCAATACTTTTGACTACTTTCTGTTTACGTCGGCAATCTTTTGACTGATTTCTGTTTATGTGGACAATCTTTTGACTGATTTCTGTTTACGTGGGCAATATTTTGACTGATTTTTGTCTACGTGAACAATCTTTTGACTGATTTCTGTTTACGTGGGCAATAATTTGACTGATTTCTGTTTAGGTGGGCAGTCTTTTGACTTATTTCTGTTTACGTTGGCAATCTTTTGACTGATTTCTGTTTACGTGGGCAATATTTTGACTGATTTTTGTTTACGTGGGCAATATTTTGACTTATATCTGTTTACGTTGGCAATCTTTTGACTGATTTCTGTTTACGTGGACAATCTTTTGACTGATTTCTGTTTACGTGGGCAATATTTTGACTGATTTTTGTTTACGTGGGCAATCTTTTGACTGATTTCTCTTTACGTTGGCAATCTTTTGACTGATTTCTGTTTACTAGGGCAATATTTTGACTAATTTCTGTTTACGTGGGCAAACTATTTTTACTGATTTCTGTCTACATGGACAATCTTTTGACTGATTTCTGATCACGTGGGCAATATTTAGACTGATTTTTGTCTACGTGGACAATCTTTTCACTGATTTCTTTTTACGTGGGCAATACTTTGACTGATTTCTGTTTGCTTCGGCAATCTTTTGACTTATTTCTGTTTACATGGGCTATCTTTTAACTGATTTTAGAAATGAGAATAATAATATGTTTTCGGTATTTTTTCTGTATTTCAGAAATCATTTTGCGTAATGTCAGTGGGATTATACCAGACAAAAGCTAATTAACATCCACGTCTTGAACAGATTGACTAAAACGAGTCTACACGTAACATTGGCGCTATATTATTTCAGAGCTTTGAGTTTCTAGAAAGTTCTGGAATTCTGCCATTTTGTCGACATTATCAATTAAGTAATCCCAACAAAAGACACAAAATACATCATAAAACTGTTTGTGCTTTCTTTAATAACACAAGTTTAACGTTGTACAAATCTCTACGTTAAGCCGTGAAGTTGGTGGTTGCATACACAGTTATATCATCTTTTAACAAAATAAATCGTTATTTGGCTGAGATTGATCAGTGACGTATAATACAGAGGGATCAGACATTGGTTATATATATTTGTTAAGCAAGCGAAGGAATTCGAGTCAACTAGCCTAGTTTAAAAACTATTTTACTCCAAATACATATAACTGGACTGAACATAATTTAAAACTTAACACCAGAGTAGTCTCCACTGGTCCTAGTTTCTTCTCTCTGTAGATCTATCAAAAATAATTCACAATTATCGACCCTAAAGTTAATGGTTCCCAAAAATTTCTGTCATTTGTTTTTCCTTCATAAATTATTATTTAAAATTAACCATTCAAGAAAAACGTTCCTCGGAACTTATATTTATCCTTTTGGAACGAGGACTTTTACATACGAAAATTGATTTTTTTTTATATATCTATATTTCAATAGAGTTATCGCCCTTACGTTAGCTCTCCATCGCGAAGTAAACAAATCCAAACAGGCAATATGGTGGGTATCCGTTGAGAAGTGCTTTCAAAATCTATTAACATCTGATTTTGTATTGATCTTAAATGATATTCTTCCTCGGCACGTTTATATATGTTAATCATTTGATAATTTCTAGTCATAATTTCGTGCACAAATACTCTGATAGTTAGTTACCGGTCTCATATATTGCACATGTTCCAGAACGTTCTCCAACATGTATGAGCACGGTCAGTGTTTATGTGTAGAAACATGTCAGTTAGTTACAGTGATTCAGATTTCCAATTTAATTTACCATTGTTTTACTTGTTGGTAGACACATTTTTCACTCGTATACGAGATCCTGTTTTTTTCTATTTTTCATTTTTAAATTTCTTACTCATTGTTTATTCTTTGGAGACCCGACTAAATTTGTAGAAACAGTAGTACTATATGCCTTTTTTGAATGAAGTACATAACTTATAGTGAAAATATGAAGTATGATAAAAATATTACAGGAGTCCTCAAATTTTATTTATATATTCATTTTAATGTAACACTCCGAACTCATTTTTTACCCTATACCAATGCAAAATGAAATCGGTTACAGTAGTATGCGATTCGTTATAGAGAAACAATGCTAGACTTCCAGTGAAGTAACTTGATGATTTCATAGTAATGAGAGAAGTGCAAAGTTTTGTCTTGTGTGATTTAAATGCTGTTCACTTCAGCATGACATAACAATCAACTTGAATACTAGTTATGTTCCCTCTGAAGTATTTATCTAATAAAAATGCATTAATTTAACATTTGCAACTTTCATCTGTTTCAGCAACCCCAAATAATTTTACTGAAGGAGGGGACTGACTCCTCCCAGGGTATCCCCCAGGTAGTGAGTAACATAAGTGCTTGTCAGGCCATTGCTGATGCTGTCCGAACCACCCTCGGCCCCAGGGGCATGGACAAACTCATTGTGGATGATAAGGGTAAATTGATCAAAGATCCTCTCTGGCATGAGGGTTTGAATCATATTAAACCTAAGGGGAAAAGTCCAGCTGTACAGGGAAATTTTATGAAGAATCTCGCATAACCAGCAGTTGTTTCTACAAGGTTATCGCGGTGAACATACATTTTCATATGCTTATTATGTTGTATTTTAATACTCTGTTACATTAAATCATATGAAAACATAAACAATTGAATATTTCAGTTATTTCAGATACTGAATAATTATCCACACACATACTTGCACTAACATATGATCATGAACTGGACATAAATGAATTTTGCATTTGAATCATTAATGAAAAAACCTGCAAAAATGTTTTTATGTGTAATTTGAATATTCGAGTGCCTTACAAGGAACAAAAACAAAACAAAAAACACAATTGAGGCAATTTGTTTTTACTGGAAACTAATGTATTCATGCAGTGATGAGAAACTAGATGTGGAATAGTTGAAGAAAACTTGAATGAAAAACTTGAATGAAATTTGAATACTTCAGCTTTGTTTTTCTCTCAATAGGAAAGGCTGTGATTTCCAATGATGGAGCAACTATTTTGAAAACTTTGGATGTTGTTCATCCTGCTGCCAAAACCCTGGTTGATATCGCCAAGTCACAAGATGCTGAGGTAAATAAAACTTTATTTTCACTTCTGGTTTACTCAAGTTGACTTGGTGGTTTCCTTCCTTTCCTCTGAATCATTATTTCACTAGCGTTATATATATATCCATGACTTCAGCTTATTTAGATCCTGCATTCTCTCTCATGCGAGATGATGGATAAAAAGTTTGTTAAAAGAAATACAAACACACAAAAGCAAACTGCCAAGTAAAAAAGGAACAAGAAAGATCTAAACTATCGCTTGTAACAACCATTCATTCCTAATTTTGAACTTTCTAGCATTATTTCAATTTTCATTTTTAAGTGTTTTCTCTTGTTGAACTTTTAAAGGTTGGAGATGGAACAACTTCAGTTGTTCTATTAGCTGGTGAGTTTCTGAAGCAGGCAAAACCATATGTAGAGGAAAACGTTCATCCACAAGTCTTGGTCCGGGCCTACAGGAAGGCTGCATCTCTGGTATGTTGCATTCCCAGATATCTAATCTAGACCATAGGGATCTCCATGGTTATGTTCATAGACTAGTTGTTAAGATATGCATGTTTTTAAAAAAATTGGATGCTCATTTCAGTTCTGAGCTAGTGTTTTGTATTTTTCAAGTGCTTGATGATATATCTAAATCTATATATATGCAATAAACTCGATGTTAATGAAGATTTGTTTCCACAAATATCAATAACTTGTACATTTTAAAGACCAATTTAACATTATCTTGATGATTGTGAGATTCATTATTTTTGTGATTTTTTTTTCAGTCAGTACAGAGAATAAAAGAAATATCAATAAAGATTAAGAAAGAAGATCCCAAGTAAGTGTTAATCAAGATTTTATTTTTGGTGTTTTTTTTTTTTTTTTTTTTGTTATTCCCAAATCCTCGATTGGGTTAAAGATTAAAGAAAACAAAAAAACTAACTGAGCTTTCCACAGGTAAGTCAGCTGGTCAGTGTTATATAGCTGGTCCCAGCGTTACACCTGTGCTAGATTAATGACTCTGTCTGGCTTGTGTCTCTGTCTGTTCTGGACAAGGATACTCTTGTTCAGACTTTGTCTTCTGTTTCTTGAGAGTTGATGGAGAATATGTTGAGATCTCCATCATAGTTTTTGAAACAAACAATTTGATCTGTTAACTAAAACACTTTGTAACATGTCATTCATTTCAAATTAGTGATGCAAGTTTAAATTTTACAACTTTTTGATCTGTAACCATTTATTAAGGAAATTTGAGAGGGATACATTACCTTTTTATGAAAATTTTGTCAGAATTTTCTTCTGATTCTACAGTGAGCAGAGAAGTTTGCTGGAGAAATGTGCTGCTACAACACTGAGTTCTAAACTTGTGGCTCATCAGAAAGACTTCTTTGCCAAGATGGTTGTTGAAGCTGTTAGTCTGTTGGATGAACTTTTGCCACTGAATATGATTGGTGTCAAGAAGGTCACCGGAGGTGGATTAGAGGTAAAACTGGTTCTTCTATTGATCCTTTCATCAATTCCATCTAAATACACATATCTAATAAACTAACATGTCATCGGCCTCAAGTTATAAAAGAATAGTAATGTTGATTATTTTGAAATAATTGCACTCTGCATTTAGTGATCGATATTATTTGTGTTAATTGCAATCCAAAGTATGTCAAATTCCTCTTTGTCCTTTTCCATGGACATAAGAGGGCCAAAGCTTTGGGAAATTATTTAGGGAGAACTTGATTACACTTACGATTGTCTTCTATTTTTGTAAGACAAGTTTTCTCGGACAAATAAATGTGTGTTTGTTGTTAAGGCCAAATTGTTTCTTCACAAGTATTCTTTATTTGTTAATCCTCTCCATACAACAGAATCAGATTTGTGAGTAGGTAGGATTATGTTCCTTTATCCATTTTACTATCAAAGGGATGATTTTCTAAAATAATCAAGTGTACCTTATAAAGGAATTATTTTCCGTGGCACATTGTTCCACAAAAATGTCTTATCAACATTTCTTGAAGTACTGAATGGATCTTTCTCAAATTTCATCTGTTGGTTCCCCTTGGTCTCTAGTTGCATTTTGTGACTGCTCAGAAAATTAAAATGGTGGACAGGCATCCATCTTGGATTTTGACATTTAAATATTATTGCTATTTCTAAGAGGAATTTTAAAATCAATGTAATTAAGAGAAGCAACAGAAAAATTAGATGTTAGAAAATGTTGTGCACCAGGATTTCTCTAGATCTCGTGTTGAATGATTTTGTCTATCCTTGATGGCCTGTTATCTTCACTGAGAAAATTGAATGATAAAGCTTTGAAATCTTGACTTAAATTTTTCAGTTCGGAGTAAAGATCATGAGTTGAACTTCATTTTTTTTCATTTCTTTAGGTAAATCAGTTAAATTTTACATTTGACTGTAGAATTTTAGAAAGATTTGTTTAGTTTTCCATAGAAGAGTTGAAAATATATCAGGAAAAGCTCATTTTTTTAGTTAACTAATTTTTTGAGTTTCTTTTCAGGATTCTAGGTTAATTGCTGGTGTAGCATTCAAAAAAACATTCAGTTATGCTGGATTTGAAATGCAACCGAAGAATTATGTAAATCCCAAGATAGCCCTACTGAATGTGGAACTGGAACTGAAGGCAGAGAAAGAAAATGCTGAAGTACGAGTGGACAGTGTAGAGGTAAGTATAAGAACTTGTACATCACATTAAATGTAACTAAGGAGCCACTATAGTTAGGTTTGCTAAGTCAGCTAAGATCTTAAGACATCATTGAGTGGAAAATCAAAATACAGTTGTTCCTGTATTAAGGATACTAGTGCTATATGATTTTTCTTTTGTAGGAGTACCAGTCTATAGTGGATGCAGAATGGAAAATTCTATATGATAAACTGGATAAAATCCATGAGAGTGGAGCTAAAGTAGTGTTATCCAAGCTTCCAATTGGAGATGTGGCTACACAATATTTTGCTGACAGGTAATTTTCACGGTGTTGAAGAAGCAAAAACAGTTTAACAATTTGAAAATATGTAATCATTACCTTCCTTTATGACTGTTTTGAAACACGTTTTGTTTTCATAATTGCAAACTATTGCAAAGTTTTAAATGTCACATAATGTGAAGTCTCCTGCATAAATAAGTGGGAGGGACTCTAATTTGATTTTTAACTCTTCTCAAGCTATAACTAAGGTCAAAGTAAATGCAGATGCAGCAAAATATTTCTGATCCTTGATCAATTGTTTCTTTGAACTCGAGTCTATATGGTTTGCCCATTGAAATCTGATCAATATGCTTTGAAACAGTTTCCATTACCATCATAAGGAGGCATGTTTCAGGGTCTCGTACCATGGTGTAAAAGTGATATGAATTAGATAATACCGTAAATATTCGCGTATAGTGCGCACTCGCGTATAGTGCGCAGGTACTTTTTGGAGATCAGATTTTAAAAAAAAAATCTACAGAAAAATTAATTGACTGGTCACTGCGACGAAACATTTGATGTGGTCTGATCCATTGATAATTAGGAAACCACAATGAGCGTGACCCTAACACCTGTAATTACCTTAAGTAAACAAATTTACCCAGGTGACCTAACAAGCATGAAAGGCTTGGCTGATTGTATAATTAACGGTTAATGACAGTTAACACGTTGAGTATGAGGAGACTGATGACACTCGGCTTGGGCTGAACGCGTACTATTGGTCAGAAAACGATGTTGTTTTAACTGTCTGAACATTTTCAATCCTACCTTGTCCCCATAAAAGCAGGTGGTTTGTTCAGTATAGGCATGATCTTTCATGGTATCTGTACCCACCGCGGTATCCGAAGGTATTTAATGATAGATTGTTTACACCGACTTCGACATGGGGAAACTGCGAACGCCATTTGACTACGCCGAGAGACTGGAGTTTCATGCCGCCGGTCGCCACTTCGACATTCCAGAGTGAAATATCAAGGCACGGAAGAAAGAAAAGACCGTTTAAAGTCCCAACCACTGACCAGAAGGGCTGACATAGGTGCGACAGCGAAACACCCAGAGATGGAGAGAGAGAGCTGTTCAACTTTGTATGCAATCGCCGATATCCCGGCATCGCTGCCAGTACAACAGAACTGCGCGTGTGGGCCATGCAGATCAAGAGAGGTCATGGGGTCACCAACTTTGGGCATCGGTGGGATGGGCTGTCCGATTTATGAACAGAACGACAATCGCCTAAAAACTTCCGGATTCATTGAATTCCACAGATACATCATCAAAATGACGGGAAACGAAAAAAAATTAGATTCACCGTAATGCTAGCGTGAATGGCAGATGATTAAAACATTTTATTTTTTTGTTGTTTTTATCTCCAAACTATCATATAAGACCGACGACTTTTACATATAACTATGTGAAGGGAGGTAATCCAATATGGCAGATGCAGAACTCGGGAATGATAACCCCGGAATGGCATGTACTTGCGTATAGTGCGCACCCCCTTTTTGACACGACAGTTTCAGCTTAAAAAAGTGTGTACTATACGCGAATATTTACGGTAGTTACATTGTTAGTACAGATCATTATGTTATACAATGGTCTGATAGAACTCAATCTTCGTAAAAGTATTTTCCACAGGTAAGTCAGCTGGTCAGTGCTATATAGCTGGTCCCAGCGTTACACCTGTGGTAGATTAATGACTCTGTCTGGCTTGTGTCTCTGTCTGTTCTGGACAAGGATGCTCTTGTTCAGACTTTGTCTTCTGTTTCTTGAGAGTTGATGGAGAATATGTTAAGATCTCCATCATAGTTTTTGAAACAAACAATTTGATCGGTCAACTGTAACACATTGTAACATGTCATTCATTTCAAATTAGTGATGCAAGTTTAAATTTTACAACTTTTCGATCTGTAACCATTCTTTAAGGAAGTTTTTAGAGGGATACATTACCTTTTTCAGAGACATGTTCTGTGCTGGTCGTGTAGCAGATGAAGATTTGAGAAGAACAATGAAGGCTTGTGGAGGATCGATCCAAACATCAATTCAGAATCTCGATGAAGGTGTTCTTGGCTCCTGTGAGAAATTTGAAGAAATCCAAGTGGGAGGAGAAAGGTACCCTGTTTAACTGCTTTGATATAACTGTCACTTAGCATTTCCTCAAAATTTAAGTAGGCCCCATTACAAGAGGTCAATTGTCGACAGCATTGGTAGCAATGGGAAGAAGTACATTGGGATAGTTACATACTGTTAAAATTCAAGTTTTTGTCAGGGTTTAACCCTTATATCACTAAGAGCATATGTATGTATATGATTTCTCCAATACACATTCAACCGCCAAATGTATATGATCAATCAGATACCACCACCACTGCCAACAGCATACATACATGATTTGCACACTACCCTCAGTTAAGACTGAAATATATGAGGATAGGCTGATAAATTTCCTCTTTTTTTGTTGTAATATTGAATTTGACCAGTATCTGCCTTTGGAACTTACAATTAACATGTTTGCATCAGAAATGCCAGCTAGATTGTGGAGAATTGTTGAGAGTGAGTGATGTAAGTTTTGAAATACATCAGTGATTTAATAGTTCTGTTGACAGTAAAATCTTGTGTGGTGGTTGACCAAATACGTATGGAAAACTATCTGTAATTTACTATGTCTCTAGGGAGTTACTTTTGATGTTCCTACACAGGGTAAAACTACAGATTTTTTTAATTGTTATAGTGAGGGATAACGCAAAGGACTCCAAAGCGAAAATTTAAACAACTTGGGTTAAACCTAACCAGCAGACACTTTGAAGTAATCAGGCGCATTATGTTCATTGCTTTTGTTATTGCCTTGTGATTGACCTGTGGAGTCCAGCTGGTCAATAATTAAGGTCATTGATCTCCCCTTGCTTACAAACATTTAAAACAATTTGTATACTTTCCTACTTACACTGATGTGGAGAAAAATCTTCCTGGACAAAATGATACATACTTATAGTAGTATATGTCCATAGATATGAACTGTAAAGTTAATATGAAATGTTATACCCATATTTGATAAAACTCCCAAAACAATCTGCCAGTGGGGTGTATACATCCACAGCAGTGGGACACTGTGCTATGCTTTGAATATACGACAGAATAAACAAATAGTGATTTTAATGCCATTCTTAATCTTCTTATATTCCATCCTAAGCTTATCTGAGTCCTGCTCCATCGTGTTGAATAATGTTGTTCCCAATAATGTTTAAATCTTTCATGTCAAATTTTATGAAATTTGCAGGTACAATATTTTTACGGGATGTCCCCAAGCTAAGACCTGCACCTTGATTCTGAGAGGTGGTGCTGAACAGTTTATTGAGGAAACTGAGAGATCTCTTCATGATGCCATCATGATAGTTAGAAGGGCCATGAAGAATGATGCAGTTGTGGCAGGTAGTATATTCCACAGTCGGTGTGAAGAGATCTGTTATTTTTTTTTGTTTTTCTAATGTGTATAATGAGCAATGTTCTCCATTACAACTGAATGCAGATTAAGAGAAAACCCTGAAATTGGTAAAATCTAAAACTTGAACCCCTCTTTTCCAAACACTCTCCGTTATAGATTCATTATTAGGGATACACAATACCTCCAGTCTCAAAATACTAAGTGACCATTGGCAGAACATTCACGTTGAGAAGAAAGTTTTCAACAGAAAAGGCAGGAAAAGTTGCCATCTAGATAATAGGTAAAAAAAATTTCTTGGCATAACACAACTTTTGGAACTGTTTTCTATGATGTGATTTGAAGATTAGTCAGTTTGATGTGAATTAAATCCTTAATGAGAGTGTTAAGTGATATTGGAACTTTGTGTCACAGGTGGAGGTGCTGTCGAGATGGAGTTGAGCAAGTACCTACGTGACTACTCGAGAACCATCGCTGGTAAAGAACAGTTGTTGATAGCAGCTATTGCAAAGGCTTTGGAGGTCATTCCACGCCAGCTCTGTGAGAACGCTGGATTTGATGCTACAAACATTCTCAATAAACTCCGACAGAAACATGCCAGTGGTATGTATTGTATGATGGAAGGATATGATCGGAAATTAGATTTTGTGTTAATATGGTGTCAGATAAAACTAACATCTTGTTACTACCAGCTCTTGTTTTTTCCATACATATCTTAAGATTCTGTCAGCAGTAACTGGAGATTAGCAAATTCCTTAACCACAATACTCCATTCAAAAATGGAAACAAAGCTTATTTCCACCTGTATTTTCTAAATATAATCCAAACAAATAATCTAGAATATCGAGAATATAATGATTTCTACATAAAGTTCATGAAAAACTAAACTTATTTCACAATGTCTGTATTGCAGCTTGCTATGCATTGTTTGATAATTTTCTGTTTATTTTGCAGACTTCATGAGTGAAACATTTTATTTTATTTCTGTTTTGCAGGCTCTATGTGGTATGGTGTGGATGTAATGACAGAAGATATAGCTGACAACTTTGTAGGTTGTATCTGGGAACCAGCTATTGTCAAGATCAATGCATTAACCGCTGCTGCAGAAGCTGCCTGTCTCATCCTCTCGGTGGATGAGACGATACGAAACCCAAAGGCTGGAGAAGGTGGTGCTCCTGGAGGAATGGGTAGGGGGCGTGGCAGGCCTATGTAGGCTAGCTTTATAGATATTAGAACAATTTAACCAATTGTAATATGGGTATTGCATTGTAATGGGCACTGTTGAGGACTGTTCCATATATATGGTATGGGAGGGGTGGCATTGTAATGGACAAAGATAAGAACTGTTCCATATATATGGTATGGGAGGGGTGGCATGGACTAGTCCATGGTATTGGAGGCCATGTTCCACATTAATTGTATATAGGTGGTGGGAGGCTTTCTTTCTGGGGGCTTGCCATTCATTGAAAATTACAGGAGAGGGGTAGTTGATCCCACTTTACCTTTATTAATACTAGAAAAGGTCCTGAAGATGCCTCGAACCTCCCCCACACAATTATGGAATAGTCCCATAACAGCTGAAGTGATCTTAGACATGTCATTGTAAAATGTCTTCAATGAAGCAGCTCGATGCCTATTGAACATGTGGAAAATGATCATTATTGTTTGGACCCAAGACTGAATGAGCAGTATGTATATGCTTGTTGTGTTCTGTAAAATCATGTAAGCTTTGTCTCTGTGGATGTGAACAATACAAGAATGAACTAGTGCTTTTGAATTGATCAATGTGATAAATATTTATTTCCTGTGTCCATGAATTCATGTTCACATTGGAACCATTTGGCAGAGGTAGTGTGAGAGAGAGTTGATGCGTGTGTGACCCCACAATCCTTTGCTTCTCTAATAAAGAAGTATTTCTAAACCATTTTTTATGCGTTGCATAATTTGTGTATTTCTACATTTTTTCATAAAAAAAAAAAGATCAAAATAAAAAGACTGAATTTAATTCACTTTTTTGTTTTTATCAGCTCATAAGACTGCTGGAACGTTGGGTGGTGTTGCATCTGTCGTCTATATTAAAAGCCTGTTAAGTGCTTCATCTTTTGTTATGAAACTGGATATAAACAATGACTTTGGAAATTTGATAACATATGAAGTGAATGAATATGCAGAGTTAAATGATTTAGGCTGATGAGTATAAAAATTGTTATTCCTTCATGGCCAGATGAAACTTGCTAAAGGAGTGCCACAAGAAAAATAAGAGCAGCAACTGAAAAATGCTGACAGAAATCACTTATGCCCTGATAAAGCTTGCCTCATTTTGGAGAGAGTTCAATTCAAGGAAGCTACATGTCAGAATTGCATTAACAATTCCTGCTGTGTTTCCAAGAGACTAGATTACTGCACAAATGTGATCGCCACAATCTGCAGTGACCTGTTCACGCATTTATTATGTTGTTTGTCCAGCATTTGTGAATGCCCCAGAATCTATTTGGACATCATTGTTAGAAACACCTGAGTGTTGGATTCGTATTCAGCAAATTTCCTCCGACCACAGATACAGTTGAATCAAATTCAAAAAAGAAAAAAAAAGTCAAATTCATTTCACTCCTACCCCCTTGGAAACAATTTTGAAATGAATTAAATTTTGAAAGTCATAAGAAATGGTAAAATCCATTCTCTCAAAATTGCCATCTTGAGCATTAGATAAATATCAAAATGTGATGAGTTCAACAAACTGATCTTTTACCTTGATACAGATTTTGAAGCAGTGCAACTTCTTAAATGTCAAATTTTAAAGGACTGTTGGTTGCCATCTTCATGAAAATGCTCCTGTAAGTACGAGAGCAGTGGTGATCACAAACTTCATATAGCAATTGACACTGCTGTTTGGTCATCTGTTCCAGTGTCCAGAAGTCTAGAAATAGTGATTATAATATAATTTATTATAAAAAAAGTTATCACATCAGTGTAGACAAACAGTCCAAATACAAAGTGATTTGAAAAGACCATTTTCTCTTGTGAAATGAAAGCTCATAAAAGACAAAACTGTATATACATACAGAAAAAATGGATTTATTCTTATCTGCATGTTGATATAAATACTTAACAGTACAAAATAAAAACACATATGTATATTTACTTGTATCTAAGAATTACTACACACTATAAAGTTTTGAGAAGGTATGAAACCTAACATTGATAACCCACATGATTGAAAAAGACCATTTTCCTGGCATGGTCATTTCTACCTAAAAGTTATTAACACCTGTTTTTCTTTATAGGGCAGTGGACAAAAACATTAAGAATTTTCTTCGCTGTACTTTGACAACAAGATCATGAAATTACAAGGATTTTGAGTGTATGTCCTGATAGCTGTAGATGGGACATAATTACACTTTGTGCAATCTTATGGAGATTTGTTTCATCTGGATACAGATGATTATTTAGTACTAGGCTAGGCTTCAGCTGCAGAAACCTCAGAATCAACTACATCTCGTTCATCATTTAAGTACATCTTTACTTATCAATGACAACACAACAAGCATTATCTAGTAATTGTATTCTTGGACAAGTTTGCTATTTATACATATATATTTTTGAACCAGAAATACAACTGAGCTTCAGCAATGATAAAATTTCAGACTGTTATTGCTAGCTATTGTTGTGAAGAGTTGCACGGATTTCTGATAGTTTCCCTCAAAAATAATTTTTCAAGTAAAATATGATTTTCATATTTGAATCAGCATTCTGATATGTACATTATGTAAATGGATTTCTTGTTTTTCATCACAAAACTTGCCATTTTGATACCAGTAAAAACGCCCATCAAAAACTATTTTCAATAGAAACATCATCGAAATTCTCGTATAAAGAAAGCTACGACCAAATTTTCATATTTCAGAATATTCAAATTTTTATATGTAGGAACTGTAAAGTTAAAGAAAAATTGGTGTTTTGCTACTTAACAACATAGGTCTTTAAACAAAGGTATCTAATTTCACTTGAAGTTTGGCTTAAAAAAAGGATTTTTTATAAAATGTTAACATATATTTCATTTTTTACGACAAAAGATGTGTCACACAATGAATAAATCACCGGATTTAATGGTATTTTTAAAACAGCAAAATGACAGGACTTTATTCCAGATAGGAAGACAATAAAATGAAGATGTAAATTATTAACAATAAATAAATGGTTCAGTTTTATGTTTTGGTCAAATACAAAGTCAAGAATTTAATGGATCATTAAAACAGCTACAAAAGCATAGTATATCAAAATATTCATGATTACCAGTTAGATTATAAAGGTATCGTGAATCGCAAGTTTCATCTCATTGGTTTTGTTTAAATAAACACACAGCTGTGTTGGTACATGTAGACAAACATAAAATGGACTGAGTGGTTACACTTGCTAAGTACAATATAATTAAAGATCATACATACTGATTAACAAAAATGGAGGCACATTCTTCAGTGTCTGAATTTTTATAAAAACCAACAAAATACACAGCACTTTATTTTCGTGGGGGTCAAATTTCGTGGCTTTACAAAAAATATATATTTTCACTGACTCTTGATTTCATGGATAAATCTTGTTGACAAATCCACTAGTATCATAATCCATATCTGTCAAATTTAATCTGTTTATCATTTTGTTGACAAAGAAAAAATTATGGATATAAGGTAACCAAAAATTCCACGAAAATAAATTTTCACAAAGATTAATGACTGAGCATACATAATCATGTAAATTGCATAAAATTATTATTATTTGTATATAAATATTGAAGAAATCAGTAGCAAAATACAACAATTATACCTTAAATCAAAATTAATACACTTAATCATTGGAACTAATTTTTACTTTCCTGATTAAAAACAAATGTCAATTATTATTGCCATTGTTCCTACAGAGACCAAAAAACAAGATCTTCAATAGTAATCCATGTTTTTGATCATCTCTGGAAAGTTTTTATAGCTTTGAAGTGTGACCATCTACATCAACTGCCAGAGCGCCCATGGGATCCCAAGCTGGAAGCACTACAGGTGTTTGATTAAGAACATCCATGACTTCTGACGGTACATGTTTCTTGTCTACGACAACTTCATACACAAATTCTGAGAACCAGTCATCTGTCATCGTAATAAAACCTGAAAGATGAAACAAGTACAATTGCTAATTAGCTTACCACCAGCAGCAATAAATAAAAACGTTAAATGATTGTATATATCCAAAATAGAATGGGTGTGAAATATATACTTATTGACTTAAAACTCTTTAACAAACCTGGCCCAAAATTTAACAAAAAGAAAACAAGAGGAAATCATTATCAAACTGCTATAACATCAGTCTTAGACCTTGAAATATTGAACATCCCAATTGGGAAGGTGTATACTTATGGGCTTTAATTTGAAGTCTTTCAAAACTAGGGGATTAACATCAGTTCACATAACCATTGAGCTGAAAAATGGTCATTAAAGGATAACTTATTTCTCACACAGTAGTCATCTGTTCAATTACAAGCTGAAATGGTCATTCCAAGGATAACTAGTATCCCACACAGTGGTCTTCTGTTCAACTACAAGCTAAAAATGGTCATTCTAAGGATAACTAGTATCCCACATAGTGTTCATCTGTTCAACTACGAGCTAAAATGGTCATTCCAAGGATAACTAGTATTCCACACAGTGTTCATCTGTTCAATGACTAACTCAAAATTCCAAATTTGCTGTACAAAAATATCTCACAAAAAATTGACAATTTTTTCTTATCAGTTGTAAGTTTTTGTCTTTGTGATATTAGATTGGGCTGGTGTATGTATGACCCCAGCTATGTTTGTTTTGTTTCGGTATTGGTCTTGTTTGTTGTAACTCCTATAGACAATACCAAACAATATATTGGTTTTGTTTGTTGTAATTCCTATAGATGATACCAAACAATATATTGGTTTTGTTTGTTGTAACTCCTATAGATGATACCAAACAATATATTGGTTTTGTTTGTTGTATGATACCAAACAATATATTGGTTTTGTTTGTTGTAACTCCTATAGATGATACCAAACAATATATTGGTTTTGTTTGTTGTAACTCCTATAGACAATACCAAACAATATATTGGTTTTGTTTGTTGTAGCTCATATAGATGATACCAAACAATATATTGGTTTTGTTTGTTGTAGCTCATATAGACGATACCAAACAATATATTGGTTTTGTTTGTTGTAACTCCTATAGATGATACCAAACAATATATTGGTTTTGTTTGTTGTAACTCCTATAGACAATACCAAACAATTGTCTTGATGAATTAGTTGAAATACACCTATTTAATGCAGAAATCAATCATGAAGGTGAGTTATCTTGAACAGCTACTTATACATACTCATATCAAAATTAATAATAATTTGCAAGGCTTAAAGGGAAGCAACTCAGTTCCACAGAAATGTATACATCTCCTGCATGATAGTGGAGAGTTTGTAAAACGTTGGAGGAGCTTTCCAATTCAGTAAATTTTAATGCAATTTAATTTCAAGTTTCTTTGGCCTGTTTAGATTAGGCTAATGATAAAACTAATGAAATAGTAGTGACAATGTAAACCATATCATGTTGGTCCTTTCAAAAATCCTTTTGGGTAATCTTTTCCATATACAAGAAAAGATATATCTTTTTCTTGGAAAATTAAGAAGTTTTGGAGTAAAATCCTTCTGAATTTTAAGCAAAATTGTTCTATTTCATACAAGCATCAAGTACAATATACCAGATTTTTTTGGATACTTCTTAAATCCTGTTTTAAAATGGTTAGTGAAGACCAAACAAACTGTGTTTAAATACCTTTATCACCATCTGCATCTCCCCAGGAATTCTCCACTCGCCATCTTACTGTCTTGTTCTCATCCTAAAATAAAATTTGTTAGGTGATGTTATTTTCATTTAGAGATTCAATTAATTAATTAAATGGTAAATGAGTATTTTGCATTATTAACTCTGTGTTGATCTGGATTGTATTCATAAGAGTGTAAATACATTCTTGATCACAAGACAATGAATGATATCACGTTGGTGCTACAGTGACAAACACTACATACAGGCTTTGCACATTGCCTCAGTAACACACATTTTACCTTTATGTTAAACATTCTGATGGCTTTGATTTTCAGGAAGCTCTTCCAATAAATAAGTATACATAGTCATTACCTTTGTAACTCAATCATATATACAAGATTGACTAAAGTTAAATAACCATGATACATGTAATCTACACTGCATTGATATTGATAATAAATACAATTAGACAATTGTTCAATGGTTAAATAGACCAAAATATATTTACAGAATAGATTCAGATTTTTGTCTAATTACTGCTAGATAGATCAAATTATTATCATGTTTGAACCTTTTAATATAATCCAAAATTAAAACTCAACAGAATTTTTCATTATGAATATGTGATTTTTGTTCTTTCAGAGAACAGCATATGTGCATCATTAATGTCTTATCATTTTCACAATGTCAAGAGGATTTATTTCAAATTTGTGATACAAAAAATACAGAAACTTACACTATAAACCATAGATAATTCACGAATGAAAAATTAAGTTTGTGTTCATAAAAATAAAAATCTTTTGACAAAAACTATTTAGATGATCCATTAATTGTTGAGATCATTGGTTTATAGTAAGTTTTTTTAAAAAAAAATAGAATGATTATTTGGCAAAGCTAATGACATCTTAACAAAATCAATAAGATCTATGAATTTAATGGCTATCATAATATTTCTCCATTACTTTCAACAACCTGCAAACCTTTAATGAGTCAGGTAAATATTGTTATTATTTTTCCCTTAATCAAACAGACATTATAACCTGACATAATCATGTTTGCGAAAAAAAAATTTAAAACCACTAAAACAGAAAGAAAAACCATTCTCCAAAACAAATAGCTTATCAATTTCTAGTGAGACTACTGACAACTTTTCATCACTGATGTTTTTTGTGTACACAGTACACAAACTGTGGGTCATACCTCAACATGAGCAGCTGTGAGTACCATAGCATGAGTCATTAGAGAATCACCATATTGTAGACGTTCAGCTTTATTCATCCCCAACATGCTGGTGCCAAAAACTAAATCAGTATTCACTCTGAAAATCAAAAAAAAAATTGATACAGTGTCTTAAATTGCCAGTGCATGAAGGCTTACTTTGACAAGGTGAAGATTTATGAAGAGTGAGTCAAGGTCAGTCAATTGAACAAATGTTATTGTCCTTCCTCTCATAATATTGGCTAAATATGACCCCAACACTCTTGGTTATTGGGAGAGTTTTTTCAGGATTTATATACACAAAAGCCTTGTAACCCTGAAAACAAACAACTTAGTAGCTCTTAAACTCTACATGACATATGCTACATATCATAACTCTGTTCCTCTTACTTATGGAGAAGAAGTTATTTAAAAGGAAAAGTGGTGTCATGGCAAAATCTTTCTTGTAGTACAACCACACAACAGCATGTAGTCCAAGCTTTAGTACAACCACACAACAGCATGTAGTCCAAGCTTTAGTACAACCACACAACAGCATGTAGTCCAAGCTTTAGTACAACCACACAACAGCATGTAGTCCAAGCTTTAGTACAACCACACAACAGCATGTAGTCCAAGCTTTAGTACAACCACACAACAGCATGTATTCCAAGCTTTAGTACAACCACACAACAGCATGTAGTCCAAGCTTGATACAAAACAAAAATCTCTTTATTTTAAATAAAGTATTAAAAGTACTCACATGTTGAGATCTAGGATTCCTGGCTTCCGACTGAAATATTTGCCAACATCACATCCAAACCATACAGACTATGAATAAAAAAGAATGTGGCATTAATCAACACAATTTAAAATTCATTAGAAAATTACACAAACCAATAAAAAAGAAAAAAAGAAAGAATGTGGATTAATTATAAATGTCCCCACTCACATATAAATCAGAATTTGATCTGATGCAGAACTAAATGTTATGATACTATTGAGGTAAATGTGAAATGAGGAGTTTTCAGGATATGACATTTACATGAAAAATCATCATCCAATGAATTTATACAAAAAGGGGCTTACCTCCCCTCCTTTGATTGAAGCAAGAGCAAGCTCCTTCAGGACTTGTACAGGCTGGTTAATGTAGAGGACATTTCGAGCAGACGTCATATTGTTGAGATACTCAACAGTGTACAGTTTATTGTACACATTTTTAGGACGGGGATCATTTACTAAACACACCTGGCAAACAAAAACAATATTTTGATACAATATGTACATAACATATATAGTCTGAAGAAAATCAAATAGACACATTTTAAACCCAACAAATTTACAACATCGAAAATTAGGTGGACACATTTTAAACCAAAAACCAATTATTTTCAGCTTAGAACAATCTATAACATCCAACACCACCTACCTTATCTTCCAAATCTGACAGGGGCTTGATATGTTCCTTGTAGAAATCTACAGGTTTTATTGGTCCAACTTTCCTGTATTGTTTTTCATTGTCATAGAATTCCCAGGTTATGACTTCTGGTGGAGTTCCCAGAGATATGGAACATATTCTGTAGATCTAAAAACAACACAAAATAAAGGTAAAAATTTTCAAAACAAAATCCCTGCTGGGCTGCAAATATCACTACTGGTATTCATATATATCAGGACTATTCTAGTAAAACACCTTGACCCTCAGACTCTGAAATCCATGGTTTAGTTTCCTGTTTAGAATAAACAAATGTCAACTGTAAGTAAAGGCTGCTTTTTTGGTTCCTTATGATATGCAATTCATAGTAATTAACCTCTTCATAAAGGCCACCTGTGTATAAAGGCCACTTTTCTTAACTCCCTTGAGCGGCCTTTATAGACAGGTTTGACCATACTTCTATACAAATTATCAATCACAGTCTATGGATGACACCGCTAAACAAAATACTGAGCCCTGGGACAGGAGCGATATTTTATAGGAATAGCTCTTAAGTGAAATCTGCTTAATAGCAATTTTCATTTATCAAAGAAAAACATGATATCATACAAAATGTGATATCACATGGATGTGACTTTATTTGGAGTTTACAGTAATTCAATAAACTGAATTACTACTTACATGGTGCCTACTGTATGATGTTTTTATTCCAGACATGTGGCAGATCAGAATTTGTCTCTTTTTAGCAATCATTTGGATTTTAAAGGAGCAATTCTTTATTTTTCTAAATATTCTAAAATGTTTCCAGGACACTAAACCCTCAGATGAAGAATTTTGAGCTATCAGGTATTTAACTTTAAGACAAACCCTTTTTGATATCTCATCCATGTGTTTATATATAATTACTGGTTTCTTGAATATCCCCATACCTATATCAATAGGATAGATTCTCCTGGAGTTTGTTAGCATGATGGGTTTATGGCCCAGTGAACAGGTTCCTTGTAGTAGCTGGAAGAGACTTCACTGAACAACATACAGGGTGGCCTGACGCATGCCATTAAGATCAATTGGGAAAAAGGGCTTTGCTCAAGGACACAATCACAATATTTTTACAATATTTTCATGTAGCACTGAACCACACACCTCAGATCTTATCTGGGATCTTCATCTGAGTTTAGAAATCTCAACATTCTTTCAACTGGGCTTACCCCATCCCATACCTTCCCTTTTTGCCAGTCTCTTCCTTATGTTGAGTGGGAGAAAATATCATACAAGTGTTTTAGTCTGTTCTCTTACCTCTTCCAGCATCTTCAACTTTTCTGCTGCAATTTCTTCGTCTGATTTCCCTGCTTTAACCATGCTGTGTAGACGCATACAGAATTCCCTCATCTGGAAAAAGATACCAGGTGTGAAACCAGCATTCATGAGAAAAATTACAATTTGGATACAACAACTTATTACAACAAACAACCTAGTGTGTACAGGGAAATTTTCATTTCTTTCATCCTTTGGCTTAAAGGGTGAAAATAAAAACAGGGCTAAAGTTAGATTTGATAGCAGTTTTATGTATGGGAAAGTTTGACACATGGAAAAAACAAAGTTTCATGCTAGAATGAAAGAAACCCGGATGAATGTTTACCTTCATACAGTACTATTCCACAACATCAAACAAAACAAGGATAGGCTGATTGTACAATTTTTATAATTAGTGAAATACACTTTCTACAATAAATCAATTATTTTATCATTTAAAGCTGAAGCAAACATGAGCTCACACAGACATTCCTACAAATCCCTTATCTTTTACATTTTAACTCAATTTGTTTAGGGGTTCATAAGATATATCATACATGAGCTTTTTAGTTCAAAATGACCAAGTGTTACCTTTCAACTTTAACCTGGACTTATGACCACCGAAATCACATCGGGTGTAGAAATTGATGTTATGGTATGAATATCAATCTATTCAGGGGTTCATAGATATCATGTTCACAAGCTGGTCACAAGAACTCGCAATGTGATAACTATACCCCCTTAACTCAGTGGGGGAATAATAACTTTAGTTACATACAAATTACATTAAGGCATACCAAGAGATTGTCCAGAGTATTAAGTATGCACTAAACATTCCAAGTAGAATAAGGGCACCAGATCATTCTATCTAACATAGTCTTAAATTGAACCATTCCATTAGCATTCAGTTGTGTTAAATGCAACCTCTGATCTTGCTAACATTGAACCTTGCATGACCCCTAACCTTTCAGTCTTGGAAACCCTTTTAGACCCCTAATCTTGCTAGAATTGTAGTTATCACAATTGGGAATTCTTTTAAAATGAAGGCCATTTAGGACATGTGATAATGCTTTTTGACCTGTATACCTTATTGTTGATCAATCGGCCCATCCTGAGGGAAGATTCAGCGCTGTGAGCATCAGGAAAGCAGCTCTTGGGTACAAGGCCATATTTCTCCACTATATTGACTAACATGTCCCACTGACCACCATCATCTACAGGGTTGTGCAGTAAATGGCTCATTAGTCGTCCGTCTGGGTTCTCTCCCTTCTTTGAAATGTTGACAAATACATCTAGAAGATAGTTAGCTCTCTCAACCTACAACAATAACCAACAATTACAATATACACCTGTACTTATCATGCAAGTTGATTTTTTTGGAAATTCTTCTGATTGACTTTCGCAAGTTGGCAAATTACTGGGTTCATTGCCACAAGATATTTCCTCATGAAACAGCATGAAAAATATGTTATTCAAAGATCCTAGTAAACCCAATATTTGCTCTTGAAAATAATGAACATACAACAGTTACCTTGCCAACATTTTACACATGACAATGGTTAAAAAATTTGTGTTAAATTACAAGCATGGTAAAACAAAATTTTGTTGCAAGTTGCAGTTCAATAAATCCAGTAAATTACAGTTAAAAAGTAAGTCCAATTAATAGCCAATCATTTAAATTGCAGTATCTATTAGTATATCTCTCCAAGGTATCACAATATATTGTAAGAGGTGTCTGCTGTAACAGCCACACTATCAACACAACTACCAACCTTATCCCAGAAGAACAGATAGTTTTGGCTGAATTCCATCTCATCCAGCTTGAAGTGTTTTGCCACTGGAACTCGTAAGACGTTGAGACAAGCAAACAACCAACATCGTCCAGAGCTTTTCTGATTTGTCATTGGTTTCCCTTCTCCTGCCTTAACAAGAAGTAAAATTATACATTGATAACATAAACTTCTAATTTAATCGCTATTTAATCATTCACTCTGAAAGCGTTGTCTTGTTTTACATATGATATGTGCCTAACTGAAATTTGGTAAAACTGCTATCAGCGTACCATTGATTTTGAATATATATAGTACAGAGTACTACAATGATAGTCCAAATTGAACTGTCTTTCTTTTATGGGTCTGGAGTCGATAAACATTAGAACTCCATCATTATATAATGTGAGTTAATTAAGCGACCCACACCTAATTCAGCATTCAAACAATAGTTGGGGATAGTTCTATAATTCAAGATTCTTTGTAGTTTTAATGTTCTGTTTCTCTTTTAATTTGAGTTTTGCAATTGTGACCTTACATTTGAATATTTTTGTCATGGCTGAAAAAAATGTCCAAATTTAAAATCATGCTCAAACAACATAAATAGTTGTATATATACAATTCTACTAGCCTGATACTTTGACCATTGGCTAGTAGATTTAATGCCACCGCTACAAAAATACTGCACAATTATGAATGATGAAACACAGGATTGGCTACAACTAGTAAGAGTACTTTTTTCAGCATGATTTGTCACAGCTAGTATTCAAATTTCAAATATAATTGGTCATAAAGTCAGAATAAATTTATTTCTGTCAATATTTCACATATATTTTGACTTCCATGCATGGAGCTGATTATGTTAGAAACTGGTATATCTATTTATTTATAGACACTTAATTGAATTTAGGTAAGGGAACTCAACAAATATTATATATATATTTAATGAAGTCTACACACCTTACAGTTGAACACATGAGGACTACTCCACACCAGATCCTGCTGTCTACAGGTCTCCCAAAGATCTGTTTTGTAACAGACATTCTGGGCCAATAGATTCTTCTCATCACTGGAAAATTTCTCTTTGAAGTTTGAAAGAGTTGCTTTAGGTATTCCTATGAAGGTAAAGAGGGAATAATATTTAAGGGAAATTTTGCTATACTCCATAATAGACAACTAAACCTACTTTTGGTGGTTAAGTGTGCTTGTCCTTTCTACATTTTAGTTTACGTTAATGGCTTCTCATTATCTCCGAGTAATCACAGGAGAAGATGTACATATACTAGACCACAAAAATAATATGATGACATTTTAAGCTGGGTTGGTACTACGTTTATTACAATAAGATAGAAAACAGTCAGACTGCATTAGAGACCAGAAAAAACATTACAGCAGGGCAAAACTTAAATATAATGCCTGGACATTGTCTTCTACAAGAATGCAAACCACTAATGATTAAAATACAACCTTGACATCATGTAGTCATATCTACTTTTCTGCAGTGGAAAATTGTGATCCAGTAGAGTCTAAATTTTAGTAAATCAGAATGAATATCAAATCTGCTGTTAGGGATTGGTGTATTGTTGCTTGATGCCAACCAAGATCATTTAAGGATGTGCCAGGTTTGTTGTGGTAGAAGAAAGCCAGAGGTCCCAGAGAAAAACAACTGACATGTGACCACTACCTGGTGACTGCCCTATATAGGCCTTGAAAACCTGTTACCCAGAGGTGGAGGCATTGAACTTGTATACTATAACGGATATTAAGATCTAAATTTTCATTGCAACTACTGATTACCTGCACTGTATTATACAATGCAGGTCATCAGTAGTTGCAATTTTAGAAAGCAGAATCCAAGTTATTAGCATCAGAATTTTAATCACCTGGGTAATCGTTTATCATTTTACTTCGTTTTTGGAAAAACCAGAAAAAGCATTTTACAATTTTTAATGAGTACATGTTAAACAATTTGATAAAAGACTGGTCAAGCTGATTCTTTACATTTTTATAAATGCAAGACAAAAATAACATTAAGAAAATTACTTGAGAATTTTAAGGTAGGTCTTAAAAATTGTCCAATTATAAAACAATTTTTTACTACACTTGACTGCTTTGCAGTTACAATACAACTTAGCATAGCACCACTTCAATTTGAGTAAGTCTTTCAAAATCAACTCTTACTACTCAGGCAATAGGGACGGCTACAATAACAATTGTACCTGCTGCCCACATTGCATGATGGTAAGAGCCAACTAAAACTGGAATGTGATATTTTCTTTCTATCTACTGTTTTCATTGATGTCTCCTTTGACACTGCCTCACCTACTTGAATGTGCCTCTCTGTGAGGAAGGCTTTAATTGGGCTATGTCCCCCTAGCCAAGACATTCTAGAGTCTTTAAAAAGTAGTTACTATTCCTTGCTTTATGCTCAGAATTGTGGCAGTGTAATGACTTGTTCAACTGAACATATTTAGTATATGATGTGACCAGTAGGATATTCCACTGGATGTTTTCTGCATTTATTATGCAGTCACCTAGCATCCTTGTGTACACTGTCCTTAAATGACAGAAAATACTCATAGGACATTAACCTGGTACACTAAATAAATTCAACAATTTGAAACCAAACTAAACCAAACCAAAAATACATTGTACATACTAATGTATAGCATGCACCAATTGCACATGTGTACATGTACTTGTAGTTCTATAATTCATTTGCACCCAAGATTCAGCTAACCCATTACTATAATAAGGCTAAACCAGGATTTCAACATTTCAACTTCCCCGGAACTCCACACTTTACCCGCTGATCCACTTTTAAATCTAAATTTTTTGAGCATTTTTTTAAAATCATAGTTACACATACTTTTTTTATCAAAATTGTAAGGTAAATGTGGCATATTAGTAAACATAACATCATTTGGATATGAATTTTCATTTGCAGCCAATCCTTCCTGTACTAGGCCAGCAGGAAGATTTGTTGCCTCAACATGTTCAATATGCATTATGCTCAGGGAAGTTTATTTTACAAATTATATATATATCCCTATACATCAGGAATTAACTCATATCTATTTATAGATACCCATCCTAAAGTGATTGGCTTAATTATCCATAATAAACGCTTATATAATTAACAATTTACGTTGTCATACTCAACGTCACCGGTAAACCATCATCATTGTCATACTCAGTGTCAACTTCGAGCTCACCAACACTCGCTAACTGAAGTACACATCCTGTACTGTATCTAAAAATAGACCACGATCTGGATTGCATAATTTAAACAATCTGGTTTTTACTTAATAATCAATAATAAAAGACGGAAGAATGGTGAGTATATTACATGATAAACTCAAGTGAGATGAAATGCACATGATCAACCAAGGGTTTCGAGTTCTAGTAACACAGTACGTATACTAGTACTGTACTGTAACGGAGCAAGTGATAACGGTAAGCTTAGTGGAATTCCGATTGACCTATTTGTTTTCCGGTTCGAACGAACCATAAAAGTACGCGGTCGTTGCACGGAATGAAGTTGTGTGTTTTGTTTGTATGTGAAGTGAAACTAGACAGAACTATACTCTAAATAAAAGAATAGATTGTATACAACACAATGCACGTTACTCACCGGCATTTTCATCCATGTTTGCGGTGGTTGTGACAAGTTCATCAAACAGACGCTTAAGATTTTACAAAACGCGAGAAACAAACGTTTGAATGACCGCGATTAAGATGATGTTGCCATTTTTTTTCTTTTTCTATTGAACATTTTTTTCTCATCTCACTTTTGTTATCAGTGGAAATGGCAAACTAAGTCTCAAACTAAGTGCTAATAATTGTGTTGACATGTTTGAATTTGGTAAATTTTTTTTATAATTACATACTGAACTTTCTGTTAATGCTAATAAGGTTATGTAATAAAATACTATTTAATTCTAACAAATGCACTGGTTTTATTTTTCATTTTTTGATAATTTTTTTTTATTGGGGGGGGGGGGTGTTCTTTTTTCGCACAAAGTATTTTATTGAATAAAAAATAAATTCTACAGCTATTTCAATAGGTTAACTCTGATGGTGGAGGAATTGATGCTCCAAAATCTAGATAGTAATGCAGAGAATTTCGTCGTTAGCCCCGTGTGAAAATAGCACTTCATTATGTTGTAAGCTAATGAGCAATGCTATTCATCGCCAAAACCATTACTTCATATTGACATGTTTCCATCCGTGCTTCAAGTGCTAATGGCCGTTTGCATTTTCTTCGGTGGGTGGATAGCATGTGTCAACTAGCATCTCAATGTCTACACCATCAGAAGATTCCCTCTGCCAAAGTGAAAATGTGCAAACACACAGCACGCAACAATGCATACCAAGAAAATTATGTCGCCTGAGTTTACATTTTTAACAAGCACATTCAGTATCCATCCTGGATGATGAATGTTTCTTGTTAAACTTCTTTTCAACGCTTGTGAGATAGCCTTTGTCTCTAGTGGGTAGCAACAAGTTTGTAGACAGTGGGTACGCGGAAACTCTCCAGACATGTTAGTCAGGTGGCAGTAAAGGCATATGGGGCCGTTACGCCAAGCTCTTGCACAATGCCAAGAACTCTGGTCAGCCAGCATACACATCAAGAAACATTAGATTAATGTCGCACACGTCTTGTAGGAGGACGCTAAGGATATCCTTCCTATTGGACCATATATGGGTATATAGGTGCCATCAACAACACCAGAAAAACCACATCTTAAGGAGAAACCATCAGTCACTAATCTCAATTGTGCGTGTGTAGAGGGCCAAACTACGAATAACCTTTGTTGTGGGAGGATAGCTTCAATAACACTAAGGGAACTACCATGAAATGGACTCTTACTGAAACCAAAGCGGTTAGTAACACTTCGGAAGCATTAGCCATCAACTGGTATGAATCATAAAGGTCAAGGTTAAAATTAAAAGTGTGGGACGTTATTGCCAGTTGGTTTAAAGAGTGCACATGACTCCAGAATTAGATTGATTTTCAGGATAATTGTGGTTAAACGTGTGCCAATTAATTCAATAAGGTATGTTCTTTGTTTTTGTATGTCTCAACTTGAAAGGAAATTTCTTCAAAAGTCGAGCAGTATATAGCAGTATGCTGACCTGAAATAAAATAATTTACCTTTACAAAAAATATTAACTTTTGGACATGAGCAGCTCATGAGTAGCATATAAGCAGCACATAAGAAACAAGTTAGAAATGTTTGCAAATTAACTGGTGTCAGTGAAGAAATTGCTCACCTTAATTAGGTGCAATTATTTGCTGACGTTAGAAAAAAAAAACGTGTTTTACACACAGGCACTCGAGGCCAGGATATTATTTTTTACATATTTTAATGACCGTGGACCTCGGATTTGTCAACCGGCACATAAACTTGAATTCTGCTGATATTTCGTTTAAATAACGTCAGTCATGAGTGCTAAAACAAAAATCAATGTTTAAAAAAATAATATCCTGGCCTCGAGTGCCTGTGGTTTTACAGTCTCATGTTAGTATCACTGCTCATTTTAGCGAGCTACAATGTAACTTCTCGGTAGTATTCTGCACTTCTCTCGCAAAAACTAACCGCCACTTTCAAATGAAGAAAAATGATAGCATGTTGGCATGCACATGGCTCCAGAATTAAATGGAATTTCAAGGATGAATGCGTTGTGTATTGAATCTATAACTTCATAAGATAAAGTTCTTTTTATTTTGTATGCTTAAAAAAATCTTCTGAATTAAAGCAGTATCATACAACATAGATATACTCTTGTATATGTATTGTAATTGGTCTTCAGAAAACAGGAAGTGTTGTCTTATGGTGGACTGACCATAGATTTGTTAGTAATTCACTAAGTTGATCAGATACTGTATCTCATTGTAATTAATTTCTGAGTTTATCTGCCAGAAGATTTTATGTTGTCTTTGAAATGCATTTTGAAAGTCTGTACTTAAGGTCTACCAGGATTTATGCAATCACCGATACATAAAGCACACAATAAGTACATAATAGGATTGTAGCTAATGTGTATTTCCCATATGTACTTACATCCGTTCTATTTATTTCATGCCAATGATTAACTGCGTGTACATTTTTGTACATATTAGTTATAGCATGGGCGTATCATATAGATCTGTTTTATACGTCCTCGGCCAGGCCTCCATTGACGGTATCTATGAAATCGTTCTATATGATTTGTAAATCTAGGTCATGGTATCATTCGTTTATTTACATATGTAACAGAGGTAAGTATCAATTTCAATGCCTCCGCTAGAATACGAACCCAAGACTTCTGGATTACTAGTATGACCTCAACCGTTCGAGCTAAAGATAATGTGTGAATGGAGGTGGACAAAGAACTTACAAATTAGAAGAGCAAGCTTAAGACAGTATACAGCATACTATCGTATCGTGAGAGATGGAAAGGACTGCAGTTGCTGGAAGGCCCACAAAAGACAGTATATAACGTCGTTTTCAACGAGACAAGCACTGTTCTTGTTGAAGACACGACTATTGAGTTGAAACCAGAATATGTATATAATGGATGTCGAGGTTTCAACTGATTTATTGGTCGACTGCATCACCAACATATAGCGTTAGGACAAGTTTACAGGCTACGTTCACTAGCGTAGCACTTCTTGGTTTATCTAAATTTCCACAAAGTAACCAGTAAAGGGGTTATTAGGGTAGAGAGATGTGACCAGAAGGGGTAACAACGAGAAACTTAACCAGGAACCAAGTAACCAGGACAGAGATAACCAGGAGAGGTAAAAGGCGAAAAGTAACCAAAATAGAGGTAAAAGGAGAGAAGTAACCAATAGAGGTAAAAGGAGAGAAGTAACCAGTAGAGGTAAAAGGAGAGAAGTAACCAATAGAGGTAAAAGGAGAGAAGTAACCAGTAGAGGTAAAAGGAGAGAATAGGCAGTAGAAGTAAAAGGCAAGACGTAACCAGTAAAGGTACAAGGAGAAAAGTAACCAGTAAAGGTAAAAGGAGAAAAGTAACCAGGAGAGGTAAAAGGAGAGAAGTAACCAGGAAAGGTAAAAGGAGAAAAGTAACCAGGAGAGGTAAAAGGAGAGAAGTAACCAGGAAAGGTAAAAGGAGAAAAGTAACCAGGAGAGGTAAAAGGCAAGAAGTAGCCGTTAGAGGTAAAAGGAGAGAAGTAACCTGGAGAGGTAAAAGGAGAAAAGTAACCAGGAGAGAGGTTACCAGGAGAGGTAGAGCAGTAGCCAGTAGAGATAAAAGGAGAGAAGTAGCCAGGAGAGGTAAAAGGAGAAAAGTAACCAGGAGAGGTAAAAGGAGAGAAGTAACCAGGAGAGGTAACAGGAGAGAAGTAACCAGAAGAGAAGTTACCAGGGGAGAGGAAGCTAGGAGAGAAGTGACCAGCAGAGAGGAAACTAGGAGAAAAGTGTCCAGGGGAGAGGAAACTAGGAGAGAAGTAACCAGGGGAGAGGAAACTAGCAGAGAAGTAACCAGGGGAGAGGAAACTAGCAGAGAAGTAACCAGGGGAGAGGAAACTAAGAGAGAAGTGTCCAGGGGAGAGGAAACTAGGAGAGAAGTAACCAGGGGAGAGGAAACTAGCAGAGAAGTAACCAGGGGAGAGGAAACTAGCAGAGAAGTTACCAGGGGAGAGGAAACTAGGAGAGAAGTAACCAGGGGAGAGGAAACTAGCAGAGAAGTAACCAGGGGAGAGGAAACTAGCAGAGAAGTTACCAGGTGAGAGGAAACTAGCAGAGAAGTAACCAGGGGAGAGGAAACTAGCAGAGAAGTAACCAGGGGAGAGGAAACTAGCAGAGTAGTAACCAGGGGAGAGGAAACTAGGAGAGAAGTAACCAGGGGAGAGGTAACCAAGAGAGAAGTAACCAGGGGAGAGGAAACTAGCAGAGAAGTAACCAGGGGAGAGGTAACCAAGAGAGAAGTAACCAGGGGAGAGGTAACCAAGAGAGAAGTAACCAGGGGAGAGGAAACTAGGAGAGAAGTAACCAGGGGAGAGGAAACTAGGAGAGAAGTAACCAGGGGAGAGGTAACCAAGAGAGAAGTTACCAGGGGAGAGGAAACTAGGAGAGAAGTAACCAGGGGAGAGGAAACTAGGAGAGAAGTAACCAGGGGAGAGGTAACCAAGAGAGAAGTAACCAGGGGAGAGGAAACTAGCAGAGAAGTTACCAGGGGAGAGGAAACTAGGAGAGAAGTAACCTGGGGAGAGGAAACTAGGAGAGAAGTAACCAGGGGAGAGGAAACTAGGAGAGAAGTAACCAGGGGAGAGGAAACTAGGAGAGAAGTAACCAGGGGAGGTAAAAAGACAGAAGTAACCAGGGGAGAGGAAACTAGGAATCCCCTGATGTACATGCCTTAAACTTGTTTGCAATTGATCCAGAGGGATAAGATAAAAATGGAACAGCAGTGAACCATGACTCTGCAAATTATGAATGAATCAGTCTATGTACAATATACATGGCTGCATATATCACGTTTTATAATAATCTGTTTATATTTACTCAAGTAATCATGTTTACAAGGTCTGATGGTGATACAAGTACAAAGGCCCTTAACTGTAAATTATGACAAGAATCAATTCCATTGTCAATATCATACAAAATTGTATTGATAAATGGCTGCGTTAAAAATTATTTCATCAAAATTGGTTCATATTTACTTAGACATATGAACGACAGCAATAGGTCACCTTTACCTATGGTCAGGTGACCTAAAATGGTTGGAAAAAACCCTAAAGGGCACTAACTCTTCCAAAAATTGTAAAATCACAATCTGTTGAGGAATACGCTATTTCATGTAATACTTACTACTACAGAAAGTGTACTAAGTTCTGAAAGAAAATGGTCGAAAACTGAGAGAGGGGATCCTACACACCAAGATTACTACCATGCAAAGAACAAGGGGCAGTAACTCTTTCAAATACAGTCAAATAAAACTGCTGCACAGGAAAACATAATTTCATGTCCAAGTGATTAAGCCTACCAAGTGTAAAACAGTTCACTTGAAATCTGTAGGATGGGGGAATCTCCAGACAATTTAAAGTTTGTGACAGAGGGACAGACAACACCATACAATAATATCTCCTTGTCACCACTTTTTAACAACTTTGTAATTAACGAAACTCGTGAAAGTTATCAAAAAACAACCCTAACATTCCTTGTACAAATCAATGGTTTATTTCAATCAAATACAACACTGTATTTTACCATAGCATAAAGTACTAAATGAGCACAAGTTACAATAACCATTTGAAGCATGACTAATTCAATTAAATGTCTATGAATAACTAATACATTCTGCTCAGCTTGGTCAGTTATCTGAATTAATATTCCTTATATAGTAAAACTTCCATTACTTGCATTGTAATTTCTCTTCTACTTTCCATTTAAATCATATCAAAGAGTCTAGTACAACATGGATTATTAATTTAACAGCTGGACAACACTTCAAAATTTCTGAATTTACAAATTACAACCTAAGGTGAAAATCATTCAATGTAACATTGTAAATTGAAATGAAAGTTTCAACGATGTCAAGAAACTGACAAAATTAATTTTAAAAAAAAAAAGAAAAAAACATACCCTAGTATGTGATATTACCAAAAACATATAAGGTATTCAAAATTAAAATTGAAAGTAGACGGGGGAATAACTCTAATTACTCAAAAGGTGGCCTATATGCCACCAAGCATCAGTTCTCTGCTTGACAGTTTTGTAACTTTGGCCTATAGATACAAGTAAATTTGTAAAAGTTGTTATTTTGTATAGATTTGTATGTGCAGATCAAGCTGAGGGCATAGGCTATTGTAAATGAAATGTTTACAATTTATTTATTTTATTGTTCCCCTATTAGACGTAGGTTTAGGTAAAATGGGTTTTATACATCTAAAATATAGTTTTTATAATATCAATATGTTGAAAATTAAATGCAGTGTGAAATATCAAATGAAATTTGACTTGTTCTTCTTAGCTTGACTTCCCACAAAAGTCATCCAACACTCATCCATATTAAGTTTTGGATAACAGGTGACGCCAGTGAACAATCAAAATTTGTAATATTAAAACAAAATTAAAACAGATGGAAACATTTTGTATGCATGTTAAATTTAATTACAATATTTATCCTCCATTTAACTCAGTGGGTAAAATACAAAATCTCACTCAAAGTCAGGTTCAGGTGGGTGTACCACTGAACAATTACAGTAAATACCTTTTATAAAGTGCAAAACTTGAACGAGTCAAACAATGTCTATCATCATTTGAATACTTTAATTTCCAATTAAATGAGATGATACATAGTAATATATAGGACATTTGCAGGGACAGTCAACTACAAAAAATATCAAAAGAAAAAATATTCCAGTTTTTTTTTATCGAAAGGACAAATGGCAAATATGATTTTTTTTTAATATGTACTTGTTTCCTTTAAAGAACAAGTAAAAAATTTTTGTTGGAATTCAAATTAAAGTCAGTTCCCAAGAAACAGATGTTTTTCACAAATACGGAAATAAATTCTACAATTTTATTTCTTACCATAACTAACCTTTTTGACTGTTTCTTCAGTTTTGGGAAGTTAAAACATCATCTTTCTCTTCAACTCAAAAGGAAACCAAAATAAGAAAAAAAAAACCCATAAAATTTCAATGTCACAATTTATACACTGAAGCTCCATTGATAAGTTATTTTTAATGCAAGTACATGAATGAAAACAAATAATATATTTCTATACATGTAAATAAACTACGATGACCAGCTAAATGATGAAAAGTAATGACTAACTGTTTGTTTGTACAATGGTCTCGTTAAGAGTCTTTTATAAATGCTGTGATTTTATAAAATGCTTCTTAAAACTTTCTTAGCATCACTGTATGAAACATTTAAGTTGGTATGATGAAGTGCACTATCCTGTTACAGACATGACACTGCTAATGATACTGGCCAATATAAATGCTCTCAAAGGCAATCCTTACATACAAATGAATATTTCCAAAAGCTGTGTATTCCATCACTTAATTCAACTTTTGAGAGTAAATTATACTGTTGCAGTTATTTTACATACAACCAACGAAATGTGGGGGCGAGAGTTGGGGAAGGGGAGGGTAGTTAGGAGGGCAAGAATTTTTTTTTTATCAGAATGGAAAGGTTTTTCCTCTATTTCCCATTTCTAGTTGTTATACAAAAGGTACTTGGTAAAGTCCCCAAAGGCTCTACCCTACTATACTTGAGATCAAACTTGATCTTTTATTCTCCACTTGACTAGAAATCTTTCAAACAGAACCAGTTGACTGAAGGGCTACAGACGCCATAACATACCTTCAGATGAAAAAAGCCTGATCCTTTCAAATACATTAATTTAACATAAATTATAATTTACTTTGATTTTTGGAGTATGTAAAACATCAATTCCATCCTCAAGACTTCAAGTTTTCTTTAGGGATTTAACCAATAGAGTTTTTTAAAGGTATGTTTTCGTACAGGCATTACATTTACACCAATTACTCTAAAACGATATGTCGGAAAAAAAATTTCTTTGTTTTCCGTTATTTTGTAAGGTATTTCTGTAATTTTATTTCCGTTTTGTAACCATATTGCACTACTTCTTTAAATGATATTTTACTTACTAACAATATAGGCAGGAAACCCAATCATGGGTAAGAAGTCATGAATTTGGCAGTCCTCGGGTCAAGTAGACATTTTATTGGAACAGCAAAAACCTTAAAATTAAATTTTACATAATGACTAGAGTTCATACATTTAAGGTAAACTTTAATTTCACTTGATTATATATTACAAGTAATTGTGTCTATCACTAAAAATCCCTGCTTTAAATTAGACCATAAAACCCTGGAAATTAATATTTCCTGCACAGCACAAAACTTCCTGTAGGTGTGTTTATGTTGTCTATCAGTAAGTATTCTATTTTAACAGAGAGGAATTCCATCAACTTTTCGATAGTGCATTTCCAGTTTTGTGCTCCAGTGTAAAATGGGCAATACCAGAAGTATGATTACACCTGCTCCTTATTCAGGTGTGTTTTTGTTGTCTATCAGTAAGTATTCTATTTTAACAGAGAGGAATTCCATTAACTTTTCGATAGTGCATTTCCAGTTTTGTGCTCCAGTGTAAAATGGGCAATATCAGAAGTATGATTACACTTGCTCCTTATTCAGGGTTGAATCGTTACCTCTACAGCTTTCCTGACAAACTTTAAGGATTTATCTACACAGTTGTTCTTGAACAATAGCTTTCCAATCCTCAAACCATGTATCTTGCAAAGGACTGCATGACAACTCTGTCAAGAATGATGAAAACTTATAATCCAAATTTTGAGTCTCTATTTCTCCAAAAGGAACAAAATGCATCAGACCTGAACAACCCTCAAGAAGACACATCATCTTGACTCGGAAATGAATATCAGTCTTAAGGCTGTGTCCTGGATTCAAACATATATTCTGCAGAGCACCAATCACATCATATAGAGCTACCTCCATGGCTTGAACATCACCTGTATGGTTGGCCCCGCCCACGACTGGAGAAGTTTGTTTGACGTGCCCAAGCTCGACCTCTCACTGGGACAGCTCCTCCAGAGTTAGTCAGTATATTTAGGCCCTGCTTCCTGCCTGTAATGCATTACACAAGAACATGGTTTATAACAGATTATACAGTCCAAAAGTTGTAAGATTTTAATCTCATTTTACAATAGTACAAAACTGTGCTGTATTTTCCAATAAGGCTGACTACCAACAAATTTGTAGAGAATGATAAAGGTTGTTTCAGTCTTTAAAACTCAGCACTCCTTTTAAAGCTATTTACAAACTTTTCTTATAAAAGTTCACACAAATGCTGCAGACTAAAGGTGCATTTGCATGAATTTCATGGTATTTATCTCACCTCTCGTTTCCTACAGATAGCAAGAGAAGAACAAGAGGCCAATGGAGCCTGTATCATTCACCTGGCTATTTCAGCTCTTTAGTCAGCGTTGTGAAATAAAAGTCTGATCCACAGTTTAAACAAAACTGAGTTCCATTCACCCGAGAATGCTTCATTCCAAACTTGGATAATATCCTTGTAGTTGTACAAAAGAAGGATTTGTAGAACCTGTTGCGCCCCATACGTCTAGCTTTTTGGGGTCAGATTTATGGCTTATAAAATTCTTGGTTCCTTTCAAACAGGTTTGTTTCAGAACAAATCAGGACAGAATCAAGTCATTCCCACAAAAGAAGGAGTGAATTTTGTTTTCTTTCCCTATTGGACCCTGCCCCTTCCAACCCAGGGAGCAGAGATGCATGGTTGTTCCACATCACCAGAACGCTATGTCAGGCCAAACTGAGACAGAGTTCTGGCATTCCTTTGAAAGAGACCAATTTTAAAGAATTAGCTGCCTATCCCCATGGGGCCTTGCCCCTCTCATCCCAGGGGTTTGAGACCCATTGTTTGAACAAAATTCATTCCCCTTCATTCAAGGAAACTTCAGATCATATCGGGAAAGAATCCTTAAATTCCAACAAAAGAAGAATTTTAAAGAATTTGCTCTATTTCCATATTAAGAAAATAGTACTGACAGCCAGCTGTAGTTTGTACTTACCGTTTCCATCTTTCACCTGCATATAACTGTAAAGAGATTCCGGGTTGATGAAGATACAGTTACTGGCCGGGTTGTATTCACCATGCAAAGGAGGGTGAATGTTTTTTTGAAGAACATGGACTGCCATCTGCCATACGTCTTGTCGTGAGCGTGGTGCCAGAGTTAAGTAAGGAAAGTCCATTTGTTGTAGTGGGTTCTCCTCCCACCAGACATACACTTTCAGACAGAAGCTATCCATTGTCAGATGCTCGCCCTCCATTACAGAGTCACAAATAATGTTGTAGAGGACATTCAGATAGTCACTGATACAAAGATACATTTCTACACGCGTCATCATACATGACAGCAAGATAGATCTCGGCATGTCAAAAGTTTGTGGACGGTACAGCGTCACACACGACTCATACACTTCCTTTATATATTTGCTGTCAAACATGTGTTTGCCACAGGCAGTGAGAAGTCCTCGCAAGCAAAGCCCATTTAATTTACCACTGTCTGTGTCCTTTTGTATTTTGTACACTCCCAAAGCAGTGTGTATATCACTGATGGCCAGCGATTTCCTGACAATCCTGTTAAAATATCCAGATAAATCTGAAAAGTAAACGAAAAGGAAAAATGAAAGTCAATGAATTTTAATGGCCATCCGATTATATATGTTATCGCAACAGTAATATCAGTAGGAAGTATATATAGGATTTAAATAAGATCTGAATATTCAACAGCAAAGCAAAATACATTCCTCCTTTGTTTTTTTTTTTGTCGCCACTAAATTCCAGTTCAATTATACCAGTGGAACTTGAGATGAAGTTTAAAATTTGCTCTTAAAGATGGTGGCCATAACAGCCAATCTGAATTTTGAATTGACTGAAGAATAACACTACTCAATCAGGACCTTTTCAGGCTAGTTTTACCTCAATCCCACTAGTGGAATTTGAGAGGAATCACATGTTGCATAATAAAATATGACACGTGGTATTTGGGTTGGGCTCTTCATTCGTATAGTGGTTACATGAATTACATAAATTAACACTTGGTCCTCCCCAATATTGTTTCAGGTACACTTGGTCCTCCCCAACATTGTTTCAGGTACACTTTGTCCTCTCCAACATTGTTTCAGGTACACTTGGTCCTCCCCAACATTGTTTCAGGTACACTTTGTCCTCTCCAACATTGTTTCAGGTACACTTGGTCCTCCCCAACATTGTTACAGGTACACTTTGTCCTCCCCAACATTGTTTCAGGTACACTTGGTCCTCCCCAACATTGTTTCAGTTACACTTTGTCCTCCCCAACATTGTTTCAGGTACACTTGGTCCTCCCCAACATTGTTTCAGGTACACTTGGTCCTCCCCAACATTGTTTCAGGTACACTTGGTCCTCCCCAACATTGTTTCAGGTACACTTTGTCCTCCCCAACATTGTTTCAGTTACTCTTTTTCCTCTCCAACATTGTTTCAGGTACACTTTGTCCTCCCCGATATTGTTTCAGGCACGCTTGGTCCTCCCCAACATTGTTACAGGTACACTTGGTCCTCCCCAACATTGTTTCAGGTACACTTTGTCCTCCCCAACATTGTTTCAGGTACACTTGGTCCTCCCCAACATTGTTTCAGGTACACTTTGTCCTTCCCAACATTGTTTCAGTTACACTTTTTCCTCTCCAACATTGTTTCAGGTACACTTGGTCCTCCCCAACATTGTTACAGGTACACTTGGTCCTCCCCAACATTGTTTCAGGTACACTTTGTCCTCCCCAACATTGTTTCAGGTACACTTGTCCTCCCCAACATTGTTTCAGGTACACTTTGTCCTTCCCAACATTGTTTCAGTTACACTTTTTCCTCTCCAACATTGTTTCAGGTACACTTTGTCCTCCCCAACATTGTTTCAGTTACACTTTTTCCTCTCCAACATTGTTTCAGTTACACTTGGTCCTCCCCGACATTGTTTCAGGTACACTTGGTCCTCCCCAACATTGTTTCAGTTACACTTGGTCTTCCCCAACATTGTTTCAGGTACACTTGGTCCTCCCCAACATTGTTTCAGTTACACTTGGTCCTCCCCAACATTGTTTCAGGTACACTTGGTCCTCCACAAGGTACACTTTGTCCTCACCATCATTGTACTCATCTAAGTCCCTGCTCACCTAGGCTACCACCTGCTCTGCATTCCATCTCTCCTCTCTAACTCTAGTCTCCAACTCCCCTCAATTCCCAACTGACTCCCGTCTAAGTGTTAAAAACTACAAAATTATCTAAAGCCTATTACAGCCTGATTGGATAACTAAAACCAAACCCTTTGTGCATCTCATTATTAAGGCACGTGTGCTCTCATACCTAACTTATTTCACTTGGCTCCAGATATCTAGATGTACTTTTATCGCTGCAGCTGGTGGACAGCATGCATGCTACCTATCTACTCCAATCAGTGATCCCCTCACTGGCTATCTAGCCACGATGACGATACGAGGCACACCCTGGGTGATATCATTGGTGTTAGCATACTACGTGTCCATCACTGGTCGTTAACCTAGGTCCAGTATAACATGACCTTTGACACCTATTGATTTCCAGCTCAACGGTGCCAGCGGAACTTGGGAAGTTTGAAATGTGGTTTTCAAGATAGTTACCATACTGGATTTTGAACTGACCTGAAAGGTAACAACACTGAGACAGGACCACCTCAGCATCATTCAAGCATGTTTCAGCTTTGTGAAGAAGTTTACAATAGGTGTTGGTCAGAGAATCCATGATTGTGCCATCATGTTACCAGATGGCTGCCATACTGAACTTTTGATAAGGCTGAAAATAACAACATTGTTGGCTTCCCTTCCTTAATATTTCCATCAACTGTCACCTCAGTGGCACCAACGGAACTGGAGAAGGGGTTTAAATTGTGTTTTCCAAGATATTGCATTTTGAACTGACCACAACAGTGCTTGGTCAGGATCATTTCAGGCATGTTTCATCTCAATCCCACTTGAGGAACTTGAGAAGATGCTTGAAAGGTAAAAAAGTCAATGCATGGCACAAGATGCACACTGCAAAAGATGGACAAAGCATGAAATTCATTTTTACATTTGTAGACGGGGTTCATATTTCAAATGAAGAGAATACATACCTGTGTGAGTCTGATCTTGTTCTGAAACAGATAGAGTACAAATCAATATTAAAAACTCTTCTTGGTTTTAACACATAATTTTTGTCCAACAGTTTAATGACACTGCTAAGGAAACAGGTATAACCTACATGTACTCAAATGGTATCTCCTCAATACACTCAACAGGTATAACCTCCATATACTCAACAGGTATCACCTCCATATACTGACAGGTATCACCTTCATATACTGACAGGTATCACCTCCATATACTGACAGGTATCACCTCCATATACTCAACAGGTATCTCCTCCATACACTCAACAGGTATAACCTCAATACACTCAACAGGTATCACCTCCATATACTCAACAGGTATCACCTCCATATACTGACAGGTATCACCTCAATACACTGACAGGTATCACCTCAATACACTCAACAGGTATTACCTCCATATACTGACAGGTATCACCTCAATACACTCAACAGGTATCACCTCCATATACTGACAGGTATCACCTCAATACACTCAACAGGTATCACCTCCATATACTCAACAGGTATCACCTCCATATACTGACAGGTATCACCTCAATACACTCAACAGGTATCACCTCCATATACTGACAGGTATCACCTCAATACACTCAACAGGTATCACCTCCATGTACTCAACAGGTATCACCTCCATATACTCAACAGGTATCACCTCCATACATTCAACAGGTATCACCTCCATATACTCAACAGGTATCACTTCCATATACTCAACAAGTATGACATACATATACTGACAGGTATAACCTTCATATACTCTTAAGTTTACCTGCCTTTTTTCATATTTCAGAATATTTTCTTCGGGATGGTAATGATAATAGGAAAAATAGTTCTAATTAATCTTCTCCTGGTTATGTTATGATGTGTAATTCTTAAAACTTTTTTTCACCTTTGAGTCTCAGGCGACCTCAAAAATTTAATTTTGATAAGTTTTTAAGTCAAAATGTAGAGGACAAATGCAAACAGTGGCAGCCATTTTATTTTATTTCAACTCCTAATGAAACACCTGTGTCCAGGGTATATAACACTTATGACATATATGCACAAATATTATTACATGGACCAATTCACTGGATTGCAGACCAATTATATGACACATATTTTATAACTCATGGGTGTTTTCATATTTTCAATGTTTCTCAAATGTTTATTGATGTTGGATGAAAAAACCCATTTTTTAAGACATGAGATGAATAGTATACTTCATTTACTATGAGTGTGATTTTTCAAGAGAGGCAATAAATAAAACAGGATGAATAGTCTACATTAGACAATTGAAGAGCGTTCTTTCTTGGCAACACACAGCAATTCAGATGTAGAAATTCTTCTGATCTTCTAACAATACTTAGTTTTTTATCAACATATTCAAAAAGTGACTGATACAATACAAAACTAAGTCACTCTCCACAAGAGATATTGACAACATATAAATACTTAGCAAATTATATTTGAAAATCAATAACATATTTTACCTCGTTTTTCCATGACTATGACAAGCACGTGGAAGGCCATCTTTGTAAATGACTTTTCCAATAATTTCTCAAATAAGATCTTCAATATTCTTGTGACATTGGCTGCATTTTCACTTGTCATAATCTGTCCTTTGCAGCCTGTGATAAATCAAGGTCTCCAAATAAATCACTGACAAAAAAAGTTGACAATATGCTAAAATTTGGTAAATGTAGAACAGTTCCTTTTATGTTAATGAACAAATCATCCATAAACTTTTCTGCAGACAGCTTTTTTCCACACCACACTAAGGGCTATTCTAATAAAACATCTACTCTTGACCCCAGCAATTCAAATTATATTAGTTTTATCCACGAAACAGTTTATAGCCTATTACTTCTAAGCAAATTATTAAATTCTACAGGTGTTGACTTGAATAAAACCTGGCGCCCTTGGATGGTATAGATGTTTTACAAGAATAACCCAAAGATATTCTTAAATAAAAAAGTTATCTATTCCTACAAGGGTTCAGATCAGAGCATGTTAAGTTTTCTTGCAATCCTACCTCTACACTATTCTGGAAACTATAGGCTCTTACCTCATATCTCCCTGCCAATCAATAATCAAATAATTATAACTCAATCATGAGCTTTAAATCTCATAATTCTTTCAAAAATTAATTTTTCCACACTCCTTTCTATATGCTGTCCCACACAGAGAAAAATTTGGCTCTTGATCAGTGTTTCTAAATATCTGTGTTTTAAATCATAAATTTTCCAAAGTCATACTAACACTTCAAAAGACTTATTTATATTACATTATATTGGGAAGCGATAAAAATATTACCCTGCCTACTTCCTTCATCAATGTGATATTGATGTATGGAGATAAAGCTGTATACCACAATATTTTCCATTAAATTGAACCCCATAACATCTTCATATCTCTATAACATCTTAATCAAAATGCTACCAAATGTACTGCTTACGTTCTAGAATCCTAAGAGCACTGTCAGGATTGTTGGTGTTGAGACAGATCTCCATGGCGATGAGGGCAGTCCCCATCGCTCCATTACCAGTACACTTGTGATAGTAGACACTGGCCTGGTGCATCACAAACAGTAGATGATATCCCTGTTCCCAAAGTCCCTCCTGGTAACACCAACTCAGCAGACCGGCGCCAATACGTGCCAGCGATGGCTCGTCCAGCACATCCATATTGTCTGCCATCTTCTTCTGCATCTCTGAAATAATTCATATTTATTTTGAGCACATAAAAGTTTGCAAATCGACTTTAAAATATCAAGACAGCTAAAAATTGATACATAAACTTGGATCCCACACAGCAACCATAATTACAAAATTTTATTGAAGTTTGATTTATTCTATTCATTCTCATAATTTGTATTATTGACATCTAAGAAAAACTGCAAGCCTGATCAGCCCCAAAAGTAAACACAGAAATAGTAAACCAAACCATATATAAAATCTGAGAAAGATCCCTCTAGATAAGACTAACTTGGAACATGTGTTCAGCAACTGAAAAAACATCCTCCATCTGATGATAGCGAGATACTGGGTACAGTATCAAAAATATCAAGATTCTAGTACCTGTACATTCTTACAAAGAATGCATAAAAGCAATCCTGTAACCAGGTGTCTAAGAAGTGACAGAGGTAAAAGCAATCCCTGATTGCAGAGGTAAAAGCAATCCCTGTAACCAGGTGTCTGATAGACCAGGAGAAGTGACAGAGGTAAAAGCAATCCCTGTAACCAGGTGTCTAATAGAAGTGACAGAGGTAAAAGCAATCCCTGTAACCAGGTGTCTGATAGAAGTGACAGAGGTAAAAGCAATCCCTGTAACCAGGTGTCTGATAGAAGTGACAGAGGTAAAAGCAATCCCTGTAACCAGGTGTCTAATAGACATGACAGAGGTAAAAGCAATCCCTGTAACTAGTTGTCTGATAGAAGTGACAGAGGTAAAAGCAATCCCTGTAACCAGGTGTCTGATAGAAGTGACAGAGGTAAAAGCAATCCCTGTAACCAGTTGTCTAATAGAAGTGACAGAGGTAAAAGCAATCCCTGTAACCAGGTGTCTAACAGAAGTGACAGAGGTAAAAGCAATCCCTGTAACCAGGTGTCTGATAGAAGTGACAGAGGTAAAAGCAATCCCTGTAACCAGGTGTCTGATAGAAGTGACAGAGGTAAAAGCAATCCCTGTAACCAGGTGTCTAATAGAAGTGACAGAGGTAAAAGCAATCCCTGTAACCAGGTGTCTGATAGAAGTGACAGAGGTAAAAGCAATCCCTGTAACCAGGTGTCTAATAGAAGTGACAGAGGTAAAAGCAATCCCTGTAACCAGGTGTCTAACAGAAGTGACAGAGGTAAAAGCAATCCCTGTAACCAGGTGTCTGATAGAAGTGAGGTAAAAGCAATCCCTGTAACCAGGTGTCTGATAGAAGTGACAGAGGTAAAAGCAATCCCTGTAACCAGGTGTCTAATAGAAGTGACAGAGGTAAAAGCAATCCCTGTAACCAGGTGTCTAATAGAAGTGACAGAGGTAAAAGCAATCCCTGTAACCAGGTGTCTAATAGGTGACAGAGGTAAAAGCAATCCCTGTAACCAGGTGTCTAATAGAAGTGACAGAGGTAAAAGCAATCCCTGTAACCAGGTGTCTAATAGAAGTGACAGAGGTAAAAGCAATCCCTGTAACCAGGTGTCTAATAGAAGTGACAGAGGTAAAAGCAATCCCTGTAACCAGGTGTCTAATAGAAGTGACAGAGGTAAAAGCAATCCCTGTAACCAGGTGTCTAGAAGTGACAGAGGTAAAAGCAATCCCTGTAACCAGGTGTCTAATAGAAGTGACAGAGGTAAAAGCAATCCCCTGTAACCAGGTGTCTAATAGAAGTGACAGAGGTAAAAGCAATCCCTGTAACCAGGTGTCTAACAGAAGTGACAGAGGTAAAAGCAATCCCTGTAACCAGGTGTCTAATAGAAGTGACAGAGGTAAAAGCAATCCCTGTAACCAGGTGTCTAATAGAAGTGACAGAGGTAAAAGCAATCCCTGTAACAAGTGTCTAAGAAGTGAGGGTAAAAGCAATCCCTGTAACCAGGTGTCTAATAGAAGTGACAGAGGTAAAAGCAATCCCTGTAACCAGGTGTCTAATAGAAGTGACAGAGGTAAAAGCAATCCCTGTAACCAGGTGTCTAATAGAAGTGACAGAGGTAAAAGCAATCCCTGTAACCAGGTGTCTAATAGAAGTGACAGAGGTAAAAGCAATCCCTGTAACCAGGTGTCTAATAGAAGTGACAGAGGTAAAAGCAATCCCTGTAACCAGGTGTCTAATAGAAGTGACAGAGGTAAAAGCAATCCCTGTAACCAGGTGTCTAATAGAAGTGACAGAGGTAAAAGCAATCCCTGTAACCAGGTGTCTAATAGAAGTGACAGAGGTAAAAGCAATCCCTGTAACCAGGTGTCTGATAGAAGTGACAGAGGTAAAAGCAATCCCTGTAACCAGGTGTCTAATAGAAGTGACAGAGGTAAAAGCAATCCCTGTAACCAGGTGTCTGATAGAAGTGACAGAGGTAAAAGCAATCCCTGTAACCAGGTGTCTAATAGAAGTGACAGAGGTAAAAGCAATCCCTGTAACCAGGTGTCTAATAGAAGTGACAGAGGTAAAAGCAATCCCTGTAACCAGGTGTCTAATAGAAGTGACAGAGGTAAAAGCAATCCCTGTAACCAGGTGTCTAATAGAAGTGACAGAGGTAAAAGCAATCCCTGTAACCAGGTGTCTAATAGAAGTGACAGAGGTAAAAGCAATCCCTGTAACCAGGTGTCTAATAGAAGTGACAGAGGTAAAAGCAATCCCTGTAACCAGGTGTCTAATAGAAGTGACAGAGGTAAAAGCAATCCCTGTAACCAGGTGTCTAATAGAAGTGACAGAGGTAAAAGCAATCCCTGTAACCAGGTGTCTAATAGAAGTGACAGAGGTAAAAGCAATCCCTGTAACCAGGTGTCAGATAGAAGTGACAGAGGTAAAAGCAATCCCTGTAACCAGGTGTCTGATAGAAGTGACAGAGGTAAAAGCAATCCCTGTAACCAGGTGTCAATCCCTGTAACCAGGTGTCTGATAGAAGTGACAGAGGTAAAAGCAATCCCTGTAACCAGGTGTCTAATAGAAGCAATGTAACAGAGAAGTACAAAGCAATCCCTGTAACCAGGTGTCTATAGAAGTGACAGAGGTAAAAGCAATCCCTGTAACCAGGTGTCTAGAAGTGAAGAGGTAAAAGCAATCCCTAAAAGCAATCCCTATAACCAGGTGTCTAATAGAAGTGACAGAGGTAAAAGCAATCCCTGTAACCAGGTGTCTAATAGAAGTGACAGAGGTAAAAGCAATCCCTGTAACCAGGTGTCTAATAGAAGTGACAGAGGTAAAAGCAATCCCTGTAACCAGGTGTCTAATAGAAGTGACAGAGGTAAAAGCAATCCAGGTGTCTGTAGACCAGGTGTCTGTAACCAGGTGTCTATAGAAGTGACAGAGGTAAAAGCAATCCCTGTAACCAGGTGTCTAGAGAAGTGACAGAGGTAAAAGCAATCCCTGTAACCAGGTGTCTAACCTAGAAGTGACAGAAAAGCAATCCCTAAAAGCAATGACAGAGGTGAACCAGGTGTCTAATCAAGTGACAGAGGTAAAAGCAATCCCTGATAGAAGTGACAGAGGTAAAAGCAATCACTGTAACAAGGTGTCAGATAGAAGTGACAGAGGTAAAAGCAATCCCTGTAACAAGGTGTCTGATAGAAGTGACAGAGGTAAAAGCAATCCCTGTAACCAGGTGTCTAATAGAAGTGACAGAGGTAAAAGCAATCCTGTAACAAGGTGTCTGATCAGAGGTAAACCTAATCCCTGTAACCAGGTATTTGACAGAGGTAAAAGCAATCAACCAGGTGTCTAATAGAAGTGACAGAGGTAAAAGCAATCCCTATAACCAGGTGTCTAACAGAAGTGACAGAGGTAAAAGCAATCCCTGTGAACCAGGTGTCTAAGAGATCACAAACCAATCCTGTATGTCTGTGACAGAGGTAAAAGCACACCTACTGGTATTCTGTGACAGAGATCACAAACCTACTGGTATTCTGTGACAGAGATCATAAACCCACTCATATTTTGTGATATAGATCACAAACCTACTGGTATTCTGTGACATAGATTGCAAACCTAGATCACAAACCTACTGGTATTCTGTGACAGAGATCACAAACCTACCCATATTCGTGACATAGATCACAAACCTACTGGTATTCTGTGACAGAGATCACAAACCTACTGGTATTCTGTGACAGAGATCACAAACCTACTGGTATTCTGCGATAAAGATCATAAACCCACTCATATTTTGTGACATAGATTGCAAAGCCAGATCACAAACTTACTCATATTCTGTGACATAGATCACAAACCTACTCATATTCTGTAATGTAGATCACAAACCTACTGGTATTCTGCGACTTAGATCACAAACCTAGCCACATTCTGTGACATAGATCACATGCCTACTGGTATTCTGCGACTTAGATCACAAACCCACTCATATTCTGCGACATAGATCACATGCCTACTGGTATTCTGCGACTTAGATCACAAACCCACTTATATTCTGTGACATAGATTGCAAACCTAGATCACAAGCCTACACATATTCTGTCACAGAGACCACAAACCTACCCGTATTCTGTGTTGTCGTCCTTTGTATTCATCAGAACTAGTGGTCACACCCTCTCCTACATTGTCTCCATTCCAATCTTGTTCTGTCAGTATATCAGTAGTTTCTTGGGGCTCTCCCTGACGACATCAAAACCATGACAATGAATATCGGAAATATTCCACTATGTAAACCTATCAGATTTGCCTTTTCAAGAAGCTGAAAACACAAATATCTTATATCTTTACATATTGGTATACATTGTAGGCTAGGATGTGCGAGATTCAATCCACAAGATTTATATCGGAGTTTATCACTTTTATATTAGCATTTTATTGAAATTTCCTTCCAAAAGGAAGAACATCACTAGCATTAGCAGTGGTGCTTTACAGGACTTTCCTTCAGAAAGAGAATAATTAGCTGAACGATATCATTACAGATAGGTTTTAGCAGTGATACCAACTGCATAATACCACCCTGTTATATACCCAATTGTTTTGAATTATTACGTGTATGAGACTATTAATTGAAATGCTACCTGGTTTTCAGGCAGAGGGTCATTAACTGAAATCTTACCTGGTTTCCAGGCAGAAGGTCATTAACTGACATTTTACCTGGTTTTCAGGCAGAAGGTCAATTACTGATATCTTACCTGGTTTTTAGGTATAATGTCATAAACTCAAATCTTACCTTTTTTCAGGTAGAAGGTCTTTAACTGACATCTTACCTTTCAGGCAAAAGGTCATTAACTGACATCTTACCTGATTTTCAGGCAAAAGGTCATTAACTGACATCTTATTTGGTTTTCAGGCAGAAGGTCATTAACTGACATCTTACCTGGTTTTCAGGCAGAAGGTCATTAACTGACATCTTACTTGGTTTTCAGGCAGAAGGTCATTAACTGATGTTTTACTTGGTTTTCAGGTAGAAAGTCATTAACTGACATTTTATCAGATTTACTGGTAGGCCATTAATTATCATCTTACCTGGTTTTCAGGTAGAAGAGTGGCAGTAAGTTGCTCCAGCAGGGAGTGAAGAACCCTGTACTTATGTTTCACACACACACCATAAAGCTCTGTAAGGATCTATGGCAAATGAAACAAAGGTGTAAATGATATCTGCAAATTTTTTAAACCAACACATTTTTGAAACTTAACTGTCTTAACAACATAGCAACATCGTCATAAGATCTTTTAAAAGATTTGTTAAAAACATCAAAGATAAAAGATTAATTGTTTTCCTGTAATTTCAATTTGCACATACAGACAAGCCAATGATCCACTGAAATGTAAAGGAGTTGTTTTAATAACAATAAACAGTCTGATGTAGCAACTTCTTCAATTCAGAAAGTTTGAGTTTAATCATCAATATTAGTTAACTGGTCAGGAAAACCCAACTTCATATCATTGTAATTGAGTTTGAGCTACCAAGTTTGAAAAGATCAGTTGAGAACTGTGGGAGATTGAGAAACAAAAAGTTTACAAGGGACTGAGAGACGGCCAATGTCATACCAACGTCCTGTCAAAATATTTGTAGGCCATATAAAATGGTCAGAATCACCAGATATCTGTACTTTTGATAACTATTCAAAATTTTTGTTTAAATATTCGTTTTTTAACTATTAATGAGTCACAATACTGTTCAAACTCAACATAGAACATTTTCCAAACATCACATACAGATGTGATAACTATACAATTAAGCTGATTATAAGGTCTTTTTAACAGATGACTCTTTTTAAAACACCCTGTCACCTTTGATTCTGAAGGGTTATGACTACATAACAGTTGACTAAAGTTTGACAACACTGTAATTCTATGCATTTAACAGGAGTGTAATGGTAAATCTCCTTGACAACCAGAGCTGATGCTTTTCTTATGAATTTTGGATTATATATGTCAGTAATATTTACTTTAGGGTCCAGTTGACGCAGCAGCATGTGGTTACAAGTCTCAGCCCATCTAGAAATGGCAGGTAAGTACTCCTTGGGAGACTTGAGGCAGGTGAACAAAAGAACATGCAATATGTGCATGGGTACCAAATAGTCAGGAACCTTGTTAGAATAGCACAACACTTCCAGGAGTTTGGTGTATTCTCGTCTCATGCTGAATGCTCTGCAAAGTAGGAATTAACCTTCAACATGATAAACTACTCATCCTGACATGCAAACTTAATCCACTGTGAAAGAATTCCACACATACTAAGATACACAAAAAATCTTTTCATAAAACATTTAAAATGTTTTCATACTGGAAATGCCATGTAATAAAAACTGAGAAGCAAAGATTGGAATTTTAAAAGTTCGTAAACTTCATCATTTAATCAGAAACTACAACCATCAAGATCAGTACCTAGAAATCAACGATAGCACAACAGGGCAGCCAATAGTGACAATAATATTAGATTGCCAAATCCAAGACCTTCACCTTTCAGCCATTTCATTTTTCTGATCATTCCCAAAATCAAGCCAGCACAACTAGGGACAAAGGGGAACCTACATATGAAATTTGAGAGAGATCTATCCAGTACTTCTCATGAAAGAAGTCTTTGTCAAAATCCACGATGGCAACTTGTCAGTGCTTTTTGTTATTCTGATCAGTCCCAAAATCAAACAGGCACAACTAGGGACTAAGGGGAACATACATATGAAATTTCTGAGAGATCCATCACATACTTATTCAAATATAGCTATAACAACCTTTTATTGTTGAAATTCAAGATTGCCATCTGTTTGCCATATTGTTTTTCTGATCAATCTCAAAATCAAAAGGGCACAACTAGGAACCAACGGAGGCCTGCATTTTAAAGGTGAGAGAGATCCACCCTGTATTTCTTAAACAGAAATAGCGACAATAAACTTCAAGGCAAAAATCCAAGATTGCCGCCTATTGACTGTTTTATTTTTCTGATCAGACCCAAAATCATACAGAGATTGAATTGGATGTGCAACAATCAACCATAAAGTTGTAATACCAAATTTCATTTCTGTAACTTGAAGCATAATCAAAGAAAGTCAAGAAAACAATATTTCCAGAGAATTTTCTAAGTTCAAAGGGGCATAACTCAGCCAAGAAGGGTCACAGACAGCCAGGAATCAAACTTAATCTGTACCCTTGCAACAAGAAGCCATATACCAAATTTCATTTCGATAACTCAAAGCATAAGCCAAAACAGTCCGGAAAACAATATTCCAAAGAAATTTTCTAAGTTGAAAGGGGCATAACTCTGCCAAAAAGGGACACAGACAGCCGGGAATCAAACTTAATCTGTACCCTTGCAACAAGAAGCCATATATAAAATTTCATTTCAATTAACACAAAGCATAAGCCAAAAAAATCCGGAAAACAATATTCCCAGGAAAATTTCTAAGTTGAAAGGGGCATAACTCTGCCAAAAAGGGTCACAGACAGCAGGGAATCAAACTTAATCTGTACCCTTGCAATAAAAAGCCATATGCCAAATTTCATTTTTATAGCTCAAAGCATTACCGAAAAAAGTCTGGAAAGCTTTCATACCGACAACGCCGACGACAACAACGTGTGACGACTGACAAAGTGATCCCTAAGTGTCAACCAGCTCTGCAGGCGACACAATAAAACTAGGGCAAATTATCAACATAAAAGTAATAAAAAAAAAAAGAAAAAAAGAAACTCCTAAACAAGTACATGGAGCAAGAAGTTTCAGAAGAGTAAATGTCTTCTGTAACTTTCCCCAAAACATTTTAGTTTTTATTTCATTTCAAAATACTTCATTAAATCAAAATAACAATTGGAATTTGGCAACAGGCAACGTCAATACAAGTCCTCTCCAATGACAGTTTTGAGGTGAGAAGCCAATGCTGATGCCATGGAATTAATACATTTATCTATGACCTAATACATCAAATTTAATTTGGTTTATGAAAACATATACAAGCTGCTTTGCTTACTGTACAATTGTATCGATACAATCCCCAGTGAGCTTCAGATTTTTCTCCAGTATTTCTTGGAACAGCGCCCACAACTGGTCTGTATAATTCTGAGGTGAAATGCTACACAAACGCACCAACATCACTGAAGTCCTACAAACAAAATTAGAAATACAATTTTTTTTATTAAAGGTATGTATATGACATCCTTTCTGGAGACAAATTACCAGAATGTTGGTTTTAGGAATTTTCCATCACCATGTGCAATTTTTTTTAATTTTGTAGAAACTTTAGGTCACAAGGTTAAGGTACCACCAAACAAATCCTATCTGTAGCTGTAAGCTGGGCCCTGAGCACATTACCCCAGATTCTGTAGCTGTAACCTAAGCCCTGAACACATTCCCCTAGATTCTGTAGGTGTCAGCTGGGCCCTAAATACATTACTCCAGATTCTGTAGGTGTCAGCTGGGCCCTGAATACCTTCCCCCAGATTATGTAGCTGTCAACTGGTCCCTGAATACATTCCTCCAGATTCTGTAGGTGTCAGCTGGGCCCTGAATACCTTCCCCCAGATTATGTAGCTGTCAACTGGTCCCTGAATACATTCCTCCAGTTTCTGTAGGTGTCAGCTGGGCCCTGAATACATTCCCCCAATGTCTGTAGCTGTAAGCTGGGCCCTGAATACCTTCCCCCAGATTCTGTAGCTGTAAGCTTGGCTCTGAATACATTCCCCCAGATTCTGTAAGTGTCAGCTGGGCCCTGAATACATTCCCCCAATGTCTGTAGCTGTAAGCTAGACCCTGAATACCGTAAATATTCGCGTATAGTGCGCACTCGCGTATAGTGCGCAGGTACTTTTTGGAGATCAGATTTAAAAAAAAAAATCTACAGAAAAATTAATTGACTGGTCACTGCAACAAAACATTTGATGTGGTCTGATCCATTGATAATTAGGAAACCACAATGAGCGTGACCCTAACACATGTAATTACCTTAAGTAAACAAATTTACCCAGGTGACCTAACAAGCATGAAAGGCTCTGAATAATTAACGGTTACTGACAGTTAACAAGTTGAGTATGAGGAGACTGGGACACCCGGCTTGGGCTGACCCTGTTGTTTTAACTGTCTGAACATTTTCACCCAGCAGGTGGTTTGTTCTGTGATCTTTTATGGTGTCACCACGGTATCCAAAGGTATTTAATGATGGATTGTTTACACCGACTTCGACATGGGGAAACTGCGAACGCCATTTGACTACGCCGAGAGACTGGAGTTTCACTTCAACATTCCAGAGTGAAATATCAAGGCACGGAAGAAAGAAAAGACCTGTAGCTGTGGAGAGAGCTGGGCCCTAAATACCTTCCCGGGCCATGCAGATTCTGGGGTCACCAACTTTGGGCATCGGTGTGGGCTGTCCGCTGGGCCCTAAAAACTACATTCCCATCATCAAAATGAGGCAGAAAATCTGCCCCGACCAATAGCTGTTCACCGTAATGCTAGGGCCCAGATGATTAAAACATTCCCTCCAAACTATCATATAAGACCGATGACTTTTACATATAACTATGTGATATGGCGGATGTGTGTAACCCCAGGAATGGCATGTACCTGCTAGTGCGCACCCCCTTTTTGACCCTGTGCACTATACGCGAATATTTACGGTACATTTCCCCTTAAATACATGGGCCCTGAATACATTCCTCCAGATTCTGTAGGTGTCAGCTGGGCCCTGAATACATTCCCCCAGATTCTGAAGGTGTCAGCTGGACCCTGAATACATTCACCCAGATTCTGTAGGTGTCAGCTGGACCCTGAATCGTTCCCCCAATGTCTGTAGCTGTAAGCTGGGCCCTAAATACCTTCCCCTAGATTCTGTAAGTGTCGGCTGGGCCCTGAATACATTCCCCCAATGTCTGTAGCTGTAAACTGGGCCCTGAATACATTCCCCCAGATTCTGTAGGTGTCAGCTGGGCCCTGAATACATTCCCCCAGATTCTGTAGGTGTCAGCTGGACCCTGAATACATTCCCCCAGATTCTGTAGGTGTCAGCTGGACCCTGAATACATTCCCCCAAATTCTGTAGGTGTCAGCTGGGCCCTGAATACATTTACTTATATTCTGTAGGTGTCAGCTGGGCCCTGAATACATTTCCATAATATCTGTAGCTGTAAGCTGGGCCCTGAATACATTCCCCCAGATTCTGTAGGTGTCAGCTGGACCCTGAATACATTCCCCCAGATTCTGTAGGTGTCAGCTGGACCCTGAACACATTACACATTATATTGCACTGTATATTTAGCCAAATATTAAGCACAGGTGACTTTCGATTTGGTATATGTATAGATCAAACTCTATAGAAGTCATTTTGACAAAATTTAATTTTGAGAAGTCAAATTTCTTTTCGCTTCCTATACAATTGAAGGGACTGAAAAGTTACTTCAGATTTGAACGAAATTTTGACTCGGTGAAATTTGAGTCATCCAAACTAAAATTACGAAGATGAAGAAGGGAAAAATCCAGACTTTGAAATTTTGACTCCAGCAATTTCAAGACAAGCATTTTCAGCTGTATATACATACATGTCATTGATAAGGTCAGTAGATTTCAGGTCTCTGAATAGCTGGAAAGCTGCATCAGTGTCCCAGGCATTCACTGCCAGCTTAAGTAGGACTTCTACAGCTTCACGTGTTAATGGCTTCACATTCAGTGTCTTCAGCAGTTGGTATACTTCAAAAGCTCTTATGGAATGAAAAGATTTCTATTTTTGATTTTTCAAAACAGTACCATCCTATTTTTTAAACAAATTTCTGCTATAATTTTCTTTCTCTACAGTATTAACAGTGTAATATCTATAAGATCTAATCTGTTTCCCATTTATATTTGGTGAAATTTTACAAGAACAATATTTCTGGTAAATTCTGTAGAAAATTTGGTTTTACCTTTCTTTGTTTGGTTTCTCTCGAGAATCCAGTATAGTTGCTTGGCCTCGCCAGTAAAACCACTCCTATAAAATCAATTATCACATCAATACATCACATAGACTATACAGAAGACATCCTAGCGGAATGGCACCTTTCAATACAAATTAGAAAAAGTAGAGCTTAATAACGGTTTTAACTGCATTGGACACTTGTTTCTTCCTTGGACTCAACTGTAATGATTGTTAAATGCCTAAATTATGAAATCTCAGAGACCACTGAAGATCAAAATTGATTGGGGGAAAAAAAGGTTCAATTCTAGATGTGGGGTTGTCCTTGTCTCATAATTCAATTTCAAATTCAAATAAATCAAAATTCAAATTTTATAATTTTCATTCGTCTTATAATTTCACAATGCTAACCACATGTGTGTAATCTGTTTGTAAAGTTTATTGCCTGGTGAACAGCTTGTGGATATCTCACTGAACAACATATGTGACATGCCATCCAGAGCAATTAGTGCAGAGTGTCTAGCCAAAGGACACAACAATGACAGACCAGTTCATTCTTCTCCTTCATGAGAAACAAAAAAAACAATGGGTAGGGTACGTTGGACCACCCACCTCACATCTTTATCTGGGGTTATAAAGGTCAATGCTCAGATCATCTGACCTATCACAGTCCGATCTGTATATGCTTGGCTGTACATTTCTCACTATTCAAATCAATTAAAACATGACAGGCAGGTTACACCAAATCTATGGGACTAAAATTACACCAGTAGTGTCTACCACTTGCAAGTTCAAAGACTTTACAACAAGGACATGAGTGAATAGCACCTTCTGATCCAATTCTGGGATTAGATTTCTTACAGCTAAAAACTGAATTATACATAAACTTAATTCATTTTAAAACAATTGGAAAGCGAGCAACCAGCTTGTATTATCACTCTTGTTGGCATGGTGGAAGCATGTGAGGGGTCGTACTGTGGAAGGAAACCAGAGCACCCAAAGACAAGAGACACAGGGGCCTAAACAGTCATCTGCATGGACTAACAAACCGAAACAGCTGAAATGAATGTGCAGTACAGAGAAGAGATAATACGAAAGGTTTTTACAGAACTTGCAACTGGGGTCATGAAATTTACATTTTTGGTAAAGCAACTATAGACCTAAAATATCTGATTCTATCATCTATGGTTCATAAGATCTAATGAAATTTCAGTCAATTTGATAATTTAAGGACCTGCCAATATGCCCCAGAGGGTCAGCCAGGGTCAACATGTGCATAACATTAAACTGTCACCCTATTCTAACAATTCAAACCTGCTTAGATCCACTTCCAATAGAAAATAAACAGATTATGCTCAAAAATGAATTTTTCCTACATGAATTTTAGTCACATTTACCCCATCCTCAGGGAGAAATGCACCTCAAGACTATTCCATTCATGAAAAGTATTTGATTCTACAAAATATGGGTATCGAAAAGAAGATTTTAAAATTTCAAGTCAATCTGATCATTTTTGGCCAAGCCCATCAACCCCTGGGGTTCAACGAGTGTCAATATAGGCATAACATCATTCTAAAGCAACATTTCTATGAAAGTTTGCCAAATTCAATCAGTTCAGGGTTTTTTTAGAAGAAGTCAAAAAAGTAAGAAGCTTACAGACACACACCCCATGCTGGACACTGGATGATGGATGATACCAAACAAAAGTGTATCACAATAAATCTTCATGAGACTTTGCCTCGGGTGACCTAAAAACCTACATGGTCGGGGCTTGTGACCTCCATACCTTTTTCTGTTTGCTCAGGTAATCAAACCTAGGACGTCTAGGAAAAAGGGACTAGTATGTTACCACTGCACCACCCAACAACCTTAAATTTTCAATTTAACCGCATCATACAGCTGTTTTGTAGGTCTAGGACTTGTCATTGATGCTAGGGGCCAAAATTTTGAAGCCTTATGGTAACTGAAGAAAATCAAAATTTATCAAAACAAATTCCAAAACCAAGATAGAAATCCATGATGAATTGTGCCAAAATAGGTACTTTTCTAATTAGAATGTGAGTGACGATTGATAAAACAAACAAATACTTTCAAAAGTGACATTCACGTCTTTGACAATCAATCTCTATTTGTTAAATCATACATTCATTAAATTCCTGCCATAAGAAAAAATTTGGTTTGGTAATCCTCGGACAAATCCTCCCAAACTTTCAACACAAAATAATCAGGTTCATGAGGATACGTTAACAGTGATACACACATCTATGTTGTTAAAACAAGAGTGTTGTGAACCACATCAATACAGTAACTCACCAGAGGTGGTACAGTGTGTTGGTATCGGCACACATTCATACGTCGACAGGAACCGTACAGCAGGTATACATAACAGTAACCACCTCCTGTTAAAAATATTTTGGCAGCTCTTGAAACCACAGCTGGAGTTAACACAGATGGTATACTGCACTGGAAAACAAGTAAAAAGTATACATAACTTCATGGCAATCAATCAATGAATATCACATAGCTTAAAGAAACAGTAACTCTGCCTTCCATCACTGCATGTAAGATCTTTGGAAGAGTTAATTCTGAATGCATGGGTTTGGCATTCTCATAAAAAAAAATCTTAAGAAAGAACTGGCAAAATTATTCTTAACTTCTTCTGTGTGAAACTTTTTTTCTAAAAAAAGAGATTCATATATCTTCATACATCCTATAACCTGCATGTCACTGTGGTACCAGACTTGCAACCCATTTTGCTCTTTTGTCTACAGAGTAAAGATAAAAAGTTGGCTGGAGTTTGATGTTAATAGCTGAACTATAGGAGTTTTATGTATGTCAGGCTTAATATGTTTTAGATGATAACAAAGAGTTTTAAACAGAAAACTCATTGTTTCCTCTCACAAAGTCTGCATGCCACATTAAAGTAGCATGCTTTTAAATCTATTGGTTCCATTGCAAGAAAAGTCTGACTGAATGCGGCACTCTTGAGTCCAATATACAGCTTAATCCGTTACCTGTAAAATCCTAAATTTTACAATCTGTTACCTGTAAAATCCTAAAATTTTATAATCTGGTACCTGTAAATTTCTAAAATTTTATAATCTGGTACCTGAAAAATCCTAAAATTTTATAATCTGTTACCTGTAAATTTCTAAAATTTTATAATCTGTCACTGGTGAAATCCTAAAATTTTATAATCTGTTACCAGTAAAATCCTAAAATCTAATAATCTGTTACATGTAAAATACTAAATTATATGATATGTTAACTGTTAAATATTAAATTCTATGATATGTTACCTGTTAAATATTAAATTATATGATATGTTAACCATTAAATACTAAATTCTATGATATGTTACCTGTAAAATACTAAATTCTATGATATGTTAACTGTTAAATACTAAATTCTATGATATGTTAACTGTAAAATACTAAATTCTATGATATGTTAACTGTAAAATACTAAATTCTATGATATGTTAACTGTAAAATACTAAAATCTATGATATGTTACCTGTAAAATGCTAAATTCTATGATATGTTAACTGTTAAATACTAAATTCTATGATATGTTAACTGTTAAATATTAAATTCTATGATATGTTACCTGTTAAATATTAAATTATATGATATGTTAACTGTTAAATACTAAATTCTATGATATGTTAACTGTTAAATATTAAATTCTATGATATGTTACCTGTAAAATACTAAATTCTATGATATGTTAACTGTTAAATACTAAATTCTATGATATGTTAACTGTTAAATACTAAATTCTATGATATGTTAACTGTTAAATATTAAATTCTATGATATGTTACCTGTAAAATACTAAATTCTATGATATGTTACCTGTAAAATACTAAATTCTATGATAAACTGTTAAATACTAAATTCTATGATATGTTAACTGTTAAATACTAAATTCTATGATATGTTAACTGTTAAATATTAAATTCTAAATGTTACCTGTAAAATACTAAATTCTATGATATGTTAACTGTTAAATACTAAATTCTATGATATGTTAACTGTAAAATGCTAAAATCTATGATATGTTACCTGTAAAATGCTTAAATTTTCTGCAAGTTTTGGTTTGTTGATTTTGTTGGGAGTCTTGTTCAATGAATTCAGATGTTCAAAAAATGATTAACAGTTAAAATTTAATTAAAATTTTTAGAACTGAATGGATTTCAAAAGTAAATTGTGACATGAAATAAAGTACTGAAGAAATGATGTTTTTTCTGAAACTTAACAAAATTTTGTCTCCATGAAATAAGTTTACACTATTATGGTGATGACAATTTTGAGGCTTTCAATAAATGACCCTATAAACACTCCTTGTAAAAATTGTTTGCAAAAACATACATCAAAACCTAATCTTTATTTCTCACCTGTTTAATGGATGTGGTAACTGATGATTCATTTGGGAGATCCATTGCCGACACATCTACAGGTGAATTCTCAACAACCTCTAATTCGGACTCAACAGCAACCAAAGACCTCCTCTTTGAAAAAGATTTTTTACTGCAAATCAAACCAGGAATTTCAAAATGTAACACCGATTCATGTAATATTAATAGCTGTGTGAAATCATTATATACAAATTCAATTTCAGATTAGAGGTAATGTAAATCCAATCATAATAGTTTGTCACCAATAAACATGACATTTCATTTTGTGTCGACAGTTCCTCTAAAGTCAAGGAACCTATAATCATAGATTTCGTAAAGGAAACTAATAACCACAATAAAAATATTGGATACAAGGATTTGAAATAAAAACTACATTTATATATAACCAAACCTTGTCTCAAGTTTTAGTGAAAACGCGTAAGAAAAAATGGTTCTCAGGTTTGTTAAAAACTTCCCATCGATAAGATCTCAAGCCTATTCCAGTAAAACGTTTAACTGACCCCTGGACTCCCTTTTATCCATGGTTTGGTTATCAATTAAATTCTATGAGTGATTCCCCTGAACAAACCCTGGGGTAGGTTTTACCAGAATAGTAACTATGATAATGTTTGTATTTACATCATTTACACTATTGTTTGCTAAGAATTCTGTGGGACTCCAACCCCGTCCCATGCTTCACAAGTATTACCTGACAACAGATCCAACATCATCAAGGAAACTGGCTTCATCTGAGTCATAGTCTATAGAGAGAATATCTCGTTCTTCATCACTTCCACTCTTCTCAGGAGTTTTCATGGGTGGTTTCAGAGGAGGCACTTTGTGAACAAAGATTGATGTATACATTAGTCAGATGAATTCAGCACTGGACTTGAACTGTAGCCTACTCAAGTTGCCATATTAACCAGAGACACTGAATAACAACCAGCTTATATCTCTCTTGGTGACTGAAGATTTTTCTCACAAACATTTCCTACGAATTATTTTAATAAATATAATAACCAAAGCATGCTTCTTACTTTCTTTCACTAAAATCAATCACTTTTCCTCAATTAATCAACGTTTTTTTGCTTCATGGTCAGTACTTCAAATCTGAAGACATTGGTTAAGCATAGATCATTATAAACTGCAATATTCCTTACTATGAGAAAAATGGGTTAGACATTTTGTACTTACAGAAATCAAATTCTTCTTCCTCCTTTTCATTGTCAGAATCATAAGCATTTTTGTCTTTCTCATCTCCACTGTTTTGAATATCATTCTCTGTGTCTTCAACTGATCTGTCATCATTTCTAAACTCATCATCAGATTTGTTCATCTCTTCCTCCTCTTCAATGTTTGGTTCATCTTCAGAATCAACATCATCTAGTCTTTCATTGTTTAATCGATCACTCTTTTCTTCACATTCATCTAATCTATCATTCTTTTCTTCACATTCATAATCAGAATTCTCTTCAATTTCATCCTCACAAAAATTGTCATCATCATCAGCCATCTTCTCATCTTCAGACAATGTCCAGGAATGATGCATTTCCTCTACATGTTCATCAGTTGTCACAGGAACACAGTCTTGTTTTTCCACTGACATCAACATCTGTTCCTCTGTGTCTACATGCATTTCAGAATTATCATAAATATCAATGCTTCCACCCTCATTTGAAATCTCCAAAGTGGTTCCCTGCTTATTAGACATTTCAACAGTCGTATCCATGACAGCACTTTTATTGGACTTAACACCTGCTTCATTACTCACCTCTGAGCTAAAGTGTTCAGCTTTGGAAAAAACTGAAATTTTAGTAGATTTTTCTTGAGAAGTCATGGAGGGGTTGTCCCAAGGGGAAATATAGGACCCTCCTTCATTACTGCAATCATATATAGATGGAATGTCCTTCAGTATATCTATCAAATAGCTTTTGTTGCTTTGTTTCGTGGATCTAGAACTGACTTCTCCAACCTTCTTTTTTTCCTGTGTTGCTCCAAATTTCATAGGCATTTCTGCTCTAACTCTGTCTAGGGGTGATCTGTACTTTTCTTGAGGTTCTTCGACAGTTGATGAAGCTATCGGAGATGAAACTTTGCGGAAACTTTTTCCAAACTTAACAGCTGGACCCATTCGCAGTGAAGAAAATATATCAACAGCTTTTGTCGATGACTTTACATTCTTTAGAGACACTCCTGACAAATCTGAACTCTCATTAAAGAGTGTTTTTGATTCATTCACTTCCGGAGATTTTACTGCCTTCACTTTGCTCTGGGCTAGAATCTCCTCAAACGGAGCAGGGAAGTCTACTTCTGGTGGCTTCAACGCTTTAAGATTATTCTTGCTTTCCTTATCCTTCTGACGTTGTATAATACCCTGAACTATCTTATCTATACTTTTTCTATTGGATTTCTTTGGGCTTTCCGTTTTTCTTGGGGATGTTGATTCTGAGCCACTTTGCATTTCCTTGTCGTTTATTTGCAATGCATTTGAAAGTCCATTATTGACCTCTTCTGTATCAACAGACTCTTCCACATGACTAGGGCATTGTTCTTCCTCCTGAGCTGTTTTATCTAACCAACTTTTTGACTGGACTGAACTCGGGCATTTGGACAATGGCTCTTCAGAGGAATTTTGCGGCTCCAGTTTCCTCTTTTTTAACTTACGCTGAGAATGTGCTGGTGTAGAAATGGCCATTTCAAATGCGGTGATGGCCGAATTGGACAAAGTACTTTCTGATGATACTTTTCTTTTCATCAATTTGTTTTTAGTTTTCTTCCTTTCTTTCTTGTGTTTAGCTCCTTTTTGTCTGTTTTCGCTGCCTTGATGAAAATCTAATGATGCTTTTGAAACTGATGGCGAGTTCGCTGCATTTGTTTCACACACTGATTTTGCCCCTATTTCATCTTTCAACACATCTGGCCAGTTATCTAATTTGTCTTGGGCTATGTCAGACTGGTTGTTAAATTTCTTTTGCTGTGCTTCTGCTTTGCCATCTAGTTTGTTTTGCAGGATATCTGGTAAGCCACCTAATTTGTCTTGTTGAACAGCCTGCAGGCTATCCAGTTCGTCTAGCTGTGTACCTGCTGCATTATCCGATTTGTCCTGCTGTGTACCTGCTAAGTTGTCTGATTTGTCCAGCTGTGTACATGCGATCTTTTCTGATTTGTCTAGATGAATATCGAACTGATGATTTGATTGAAGGACTGGTTGACCTTGTTTTGCACTTTCTTGATCACTCGATTCATCAGTTCTGACTACTTTAAATTTCCTCCTATCTGCTTGTCCTTCAGATACAACAGTAGAGGTATCTGTATCTTCCCCTGAATTGTTGTTTGACTTTCTGCTTATTGTCTCGGTGATGGTCTGTATTTGAGTAAAATTTGACTTTGCTATGTCTGCAGTGTTGGAATTCCCTTCATCATATCTCATTTTATAATTTTCATCAGATTTTATTTCTGTACCTGAATGCTTGTTAATTTTGTGTCTCTTCACACCCTTTTTATTTGCATATGATAATCCACATAACTCACAATAAAATCTGTGCTTTGATGTTCCTTCATCAGATTTAGCAGGACACTTTATGATACTTTTACCTTGTTTGCAGCCTTCCTTAGGATGATCAAGAGGTCTTACAGCCACCTCCTTATGATTGATCACATGATCTGTCACAGGACTTGGCTCTGTGATGCCACTGACAGTGCTTATTTTCCAGATAATAGTTTTCCCTGAATTCTCAGGCTTCAAAACTAGATTTCCTACTGTCAGTTCACCAGGAGGCAGAGTACTTAACCTAACCACACAGTTCTGATGAATAACAATTCCAGTCTGATTGATAATCTTCTCACAAATTTCATCATCACTTTTACACCAGGCATGGAATTTTGAAGGATGATGATCTTGGTGTACATCATTTTCTATATGACTGTAGTTTTGAATTTCTTCCTGGAATGTAAGATTTGGCTCTACCATTTCAGGAGAATTTGTTTCAGACATAAAAACCATATCCTGATTTGTTTCCAGTACTAATTTTTTTGTGGAATCTTTCTCATCAAAAATACATGCAGCTTTTTGGAGTTCACTCTCTTGCAGTTCAGGATTTTTATCCTCACAACTCTCCAGTCTTTCAGGTTCTATATCCTCACAACTCTCCAGTCCTTCAGGTTCTATATCCTCACAACTCTCCAGTCTTTCAGGCTTTTTATCCTCACAACTCTCCAGTCTTTCAGGTTGTATATCCTCACAACTCTCCAGTCTTTCAGGCTTTTTATCCTCACAACTCTCCAGTCTTTCAGGTTGTATATCCTCACAACTCTCCAGTCTTTCAGGTTCTATATCCTCACAACTCTCCAGTCCTTCAGGTTCTATATCCTCACAACTCTCCAGTCTTTCAGGCTTTTTATCCTCACAACTCTCCAGTCTTTCAGGTTGTATATTCTCACAACTCTCCAGTCCTTCAGCTTGTATATTCTCACAACTCTCCAGTCCTTCAGGTTGTATATCCTCACAACTCTCCAGTCTTTCAGGCTTTTTATCCTCACAGCTCTCAAGTCCTTCAGCTTGTATATTCTCACAACTCTCCAGTCCTTCAGCTTGTATATTCTCACAACTCTCCAGTCCTTCAGATTTCTTCTCCCGATTTCTCTGATGCTCCTCTGTTGGATCTTCTGATGTTGTTTCTGACAGTTTGTGGTCTTGCTGATGATGGTGGTCTATTCTCTGATCTTCGTGACTCTGTCCTTTGTCCTGATCTCCAGGAATCTGTCCTACGTTCCAAGTCTCTGTCATTCTATGACAAGGATATCCTGTGCTTCCTGTTTGTGTTTCAGTGGAACAAACAATATCATCATCCTGCATTTGAGATTGCACATTTTTAGAGGAACTCACAATAATATCTTGAGCCTGTTTCTGAAGTTCCTTCATTTCAGAAGGATATAGGATAGCTTCGTCCAGTACTGATGCTCCTTGTGTTTCAGAGTACATGGTAACAGATCCCTTGGTCAAAATCTCACTCGTGTTGTACGAGACATCTTCTTGAAAGCTCTCCAACAGATTTTGTACAGCTGTTTCTGACTCATTCATCTTGTTTGTGTTACAAGATTGAATTTTGTTTGTTTGGGATCCAGTCAAATCAACTGTGCCACCACCATGCATGGTTTCCATTCTGTAACAGAGACTAACATGCTTATCCCTCTCTTTATGGCTTGACTCAATATGACAAATAACACTGCTGATTCTCCTGTAGGCCATGCCACACAATACACAACAATACTGGATATTTGCATAGTATGTATCTGTCATCTTCAAATTGTGATGAAGGGGTTGATCAGAATTCATATTCATTTCTTTGCTATGAACACTTTTTTTTTGCTCATCATAATTATCACTAGCTTTGAAGGTGCTGGTGTTTTTGGATCCAATTTCACATACACTGCAGTCTTCATCTGTGAATTTTAACTTCATCACTGCTAGAACATTACTCTCTTTGGTATCTGTATTTTTATCAAATCCTTCAAAAGTACCAGTATTTTTTAACTGCAGATTTTCAGTATCGTTTTCATTCAGGTTGGTAATATTTGTCTCCTCTGTGACTTGTGCAGAATTCACGATGTGGTTCCTCCCTCGCACCCTCGGATTTCTAATACATCCAATCCTATCCTGATCAGAACTACTATTTTGAAACTTTGACTTGGTTTGGAATTTATCTGGGCTTGCAAACTCAATAATTTTTATGATCTCCTTTAGGACTTTTCTTTTGAATTTGTTGTTAATTGTGTCACTCTGCAGTCTGTTCACCGTAGCAGACAAACCATCTTCTGACAAAGTCACTTCTACATTTTTATCCACCAATTCCTCTCCTCCATGTGAATCATCATTTAACATCAGATCTAAATCACTTTCACTGAATTCCTCCAAAAGATATTTGCTTATCATGTCTCCATTAAGGGGTTTTGCGGCCCCATTGCTACCATTGTGTCCTACATTAAGGGTTCTTGCCCCATTGCAACCACTTTGTCCTACATTAAGGGTTCTTGCCCCATTGCCACCACTTTGTCCTACATTAAGGGATCTTGCCCCATTGCTGCCACCGTGTCTATTCTGAACATCTGAATTTGTCAGAGGAAGTGGTAGCAAATCCTTTAAGCAATGTGATTTGATGCGTGAACCGTCTATCTCATCAACACCAGAATTTTTTTTAGTAGAAACAGTAATATTAAAGTTTTTTGACATTTTCTCGTCGACTTTCAATACAATTTTGCGATGTTCTTTTGAATCCTCTGTTGTCTCGTTTGTAATTTTTCCTAATGTTTCCCGATATACCATACGATTTTTCTTTACAGATGCAGGAGCAGGTTTGTTTGCTTTTGTTAAGCGTCGCTTTTTAACTAAATGGTCTGAAACAGTTTCATTCTGGGTTAATGGACTCTGTACTTTCTCTAAGACTACTTTTGGAATGCCTCGTTCCTCAACATGCTGTAGGAGATTGTCAAAAGAACTCAATGCTAGCATCTTATTAGCCTCACAGTTCTGTTGATTTACCTCCAATACCTTCCTTTGGGATTTCAGTGATGATTCCAACCATGCATCATTTTTGTTGCCACTACAGTGTTGTGTTTGACATTCTTCCTGGCAATAAGACTTTGATGCTTTCATCTGTTCTCCCATGTCCCCTCTCTCTTCAACACTACAACTTTTCTTCCTAAAAGACAGACTACCATTATCTACACTAACCACAGCTGCTCTGCCCACAGATCTTGTATCTAGTATGTTATCACCAGAGGGTCCAATCATAGCCCTGTCAGTGACCTGTACCCTTCCCTCAGAATTAACCATCGTGTCTCTTGCAATTCCAATATGTTCATTGTCAACACCAAGAATCCCTCTTTGAGAACTAGCATTACCAGAGACTATTTCAATCTGTTTCTGTGAATTGGTGTCATTCTGATCTTCCAAACCACCTGATGCTGGTGATTTAAGAACAGCCTCCACATCAGGTTTAAGGCATGATGTTTTTCTATCATTTCCATTACTGCAGCGAGTTTGTCTCACAGAACTAAAAATACCCTCATACGACGACATACATTCTTCTGATGGTACATAAGTGCTCCTCTTTGCTGGAGATGCAAGATCATCACTGTCACTGATTGCAAAGGAAGGACTGTCAGAGGACAAATCCTCTATGGAAGAAACAGCATGTACAGTTTGTGGTGTGGAATATGTGGATGTGTCCGACAGTTCAGATTCTCCATGGCATTTCTGATCCTCATCTGACAGAACTGTTCTTTTCTTCTGTGAAAAATCTCGAACAATTTTCAGTTTCAGTCCAGTTAAATTACAAAAAAATCTTTTGTGTGTTTTTACACTTCTTGCTCCAGTTTTCACATCCCTTGTAATTTTTAAAGATAATTTGCTTAAATCATACGATTTTTCATCATGCACAACCTTCCATTCCAAATCCTCATGATGTTCAGGTGAACTTTGATCATCTACGTGTAAATCCAACACATTACAGGTTTTCCCAAACATTAATTCTCTGATATCATGGTTATATGTTTCAAATGAGATCTTACTTCTTGAATGCAATGTTGAATGTGTTTCAAGCATTCCTTTCCTTCCAGTGCACATGTCCTTTTCCTTACAATCAGCATCATTAAACTCTTTCCTTGCTGACTGAGAAGGTGGGTCATATGTGCTACCATTCCCAGTAGGCTGTGAAGGAATCGGTTTTAGTTCAAATGAACTGGCTGATATTATAGATGATTGCCCAGACATTAGGTCCTTTCTAGTTGGAGACTGGAGAAAACTCCCTGTAGAATTATTTGAAGATTGAGGCATTGTCTCTTTGCTAGCTGTTGGAGAAATATTCCCAGTGGAATTATCTGACTTTGAAGATTCAGAATGAGAATTTTTCCTAGGTATAGGTGGAGAAAAATACCCTTTTGAGTTATCAAAACTTGAAAGTTTTGATGGTGACTCTTTCCTCTTCGGTCGCAGAGAAGGGCTTCCCACTGCATTCTTACCTTTTGAAGATTCGGAAGTGGTCTTTTTCTTACTTTTTGGTGGTGAAGAATTTGTAGTTATATTATCTAATTTTGAAGATTCATTACATGTGCTTTTCCTTGTTGGTGAGGGAGAAGGATTCCTTGTGGAAATATTAACCTTTGCAAGTTCAGAAATTTTCTCCTTCATAATTGGTGGCAGAGAAGAATTTGTGGCTAATAGATTAAACTGGGAAGGTTCAAAAGTTCTAAGTTTCTTTGTTAGAGGTGGGAGAGAATTATTTCTGGTTGAGGGAGGTAACTGTGAAGATTCAGAAATTACATCTTCCCTAGTTGACGGTAGAGAATGACTCCTGCTTGATAGAGTAAACTGTGATGAACATGTCTGAGATTCTGATATTCTGGTCCTCAATGCATGTGATATTTCATGTTTAGAAAAACCTTGCCTTGTAATTCGCCGTGAAGATCTCTTGGTCAGATTTGTAGACTTGGCTGATTGCAAATCCTCATCTCCCACGCCTTCTACTGAAGAATCCTCTCTCACAACTGCAAATGAAGAATCAGAAAATGATGCAGGTAAACATTTGCTATCCAGCAATGAGGAACTCTTGGTAACTGATCGTGAACTTTCCATTGCAGCTGGCTGGATAGAACTTCTGGTAATGCGCTCGATAGAAATTGTTACAGTAGGTTGTCCTGTCGAAATGTCTGTTTGCTTGACTGAATGGGTTTTTACATCTTTTTGGTTTGAGGAAAGCATTGAACATTCCACAGATTGTTGACTAAAATTGTCCACATCCATCGAACAGTCACTTTTTACTGATGGTGTGGTATTTTCTATGCCTACTTCACTCACAGAAACATTTGTTCTTTCTCCACTCCTTGTTCTCCACGGTCTGCTCCGAGTTTTTCTGACAATAGTTTTATCCCGATTAGCTGATTCGGTCTTTGCTACAGAAAAAATGTTGCTTTTTTCCGTTCCAGTAACTGACCTCACAGTTTTCTCAGAAACTGCTCCTGGTTGTCCTTGCAGATCTCTGATGTTAGTTTCAACTTTAAACTTTTCTTTCCAGGACTTTGGTCCCAATTTGGCTCGTGTTACAGGTTTCTTATATGAAATGTCAATTTCATTCCTGTCTGGAGTTGAAGCAACATTGTCTCCAGACTCCGAGGACCCTACATTGTTTGCACAAATTGATTTGTTCTCATTTGAACTTTCCTTGTATGATCCAGTATCTATATTTTTAGTTTTGGGAACAACTACATATCTCGCACTATTTGTGAGATTTTGAAGAGAAACAGGGTCTGAAGGCAGGCGGTTTAACCTGATTTTGACTGGACTTAGAACAGTTCCCTTGGGAATTTTCACAGCAGTAGTATTAGAGTGAAAAGGGCTTGATGTGCAAGGTGCTGCTGACTCAGAGGCAGAACTTTCTACTGTACATACTTGTGCCTTCGAAGTCTTCTCTTTTGTATCCATACAGTCGTGTTCTATATCTTCTGCCTTGGACACACTTTCAGTATTGTTTGCTTTAGAGAAATAAGACAAATAATTATCGTCAATGACAATGTGAGGCTGGTTGTGCTTTAACTCCATGTGTTTGTCATACATCTTCTGGTAACAAAACTGCTTGTAACACACACAGCAGTAGAGATGTATTATCTTGAGATGGTACATTATTCCTGGTCGAGTACCATACATTTTCTGACACAATTTGCATTTTAATCTCTTTTCATTTTTTTCACGGATTATCTCAATTGGAAGACTCTTTTTGGCAGAGTTAGTTTTTGCACGAGGGGATTTCTCTTCAGAAGGCAATGAAGAGCTTTCACTGGGGTGCACCAAAGTCCCTCGGGAGGGGATCTTTGGTTGTATCCTTTTGATTTTTGGCGATACTTTTTCTTTAGATTGTGCTTTTTTCACTTTCATCTCTTTTGATTCTGGAGATTGGATGGATGATCTAGCAGCAGTGTTTGACTTCCCAGTTTTTATCAAAGAGAGCAACTTCTTGCTACGTTCACTGATCTCTCTGATGCACTTTGCTTTGGCTGATGCTGAGGCTGTATGAACACGACTAGTATGATAAGACAAACCTCTTTCTGAAACAAAGGCAAGGCCGCAAACCTTGCACTGGTATGGGAGGTTTTTTTTCACATAAGCTTTGATTTTGTTTTTTAATAAATTGTTTCCTTTACATCGTTTCAAATCCTTCAAGTGGTTTTTCTTCACATGTCTACTCATATCAAAATCATATTTGTAGACTTTATCACAAAATTCACATTTAAAAGAACCTGCTCTGTGCTTGCAGCTTTTGACGAGTTTGTTGTCAGAAGCTGAAGAAGTAGGTTTTTCACCTAAGCAGCCTGAATCCCGATCCTGTTCATTCATGTGGAAATCTGTTGTATGCTTTATCAAATCAGAATGGTGTTCAAAAAGATGTTCACAAAATTTACATTTGTATTCACTCAAGTCATCTGACAATTCATGTTGATCGGTCAATTCTATATCATCTATTTTAAAGTCAGAGATATTATTACACAGATCTTCTGAATTTTCATTCACCAACGAACCTGCATATTCTGTACTATAATAACCCTCAACATCTTCGACTGTGGAAACATCATCATCTGTAAACAGATCAAAAGGATATGACTTTAGTACTTGAAACGCCAGTTAATAAGAATAAAATCCAATTCTTATTTTTCTTATTTATGTTCTTAGTTTTGTCCTTTTTTTTTTAAATCTCGTTGTCATCAAAAGAAGCCTGTAGTAAGTCAACCATGATCTGGATATTTCAAGCATATAACTTACATACTGAAAAATACTCAGTTTTGTTTGGAATTATAATGTCTTTTTAAGCGATTATCGGTTAAAATTGGATAAGCTCTCTGACATAGATAATCAATTACATAATCAGCTGCCTGTGTGTTCAATATTAATAGAAAGTTTATATGTTCTTCATTAAGGTAATACTTTATTTTTTGTAACTTTAAGCTAAGATACTTAAGTTACCTAGAATTTTCGTATTATTATGCATACTATAGATTTTGTTTTTAACACACAAGAAAATACTGTGGTACCGATGATCAATTATACAAAATTACAATCAATCATTGCATTAGATGAGGTTGAACGATTAGATAATTGATTGAACCTGATCATCGTTCTATCACTAGATGCTATGAAGTTAATTTCGACTATACAAGTTATTGGATAATATGATCAGTTGAATCATTCCAGAACCATTTCTCTGCAAATAGGTTCATATCATGATGTTTCCTGGAAATGGCATTTCATTCTAGCATCAATTTTTTTAAAGATAAGTGCTTTTAATGTTACCATATACTGTAACATTAAGGCCTGGCTAAACAAAGTGCTTTATTGACAGTTCACTTTTCTTGGGTAAATACAAACAGGAAAATGGGTTTCCTAATCTAGTCTTAATATGTAAGTACATCCCTAGTATAGGTGTCCAATTTTTTATGTAAATCGGGCCCATATCATGTAATTCCTATATTAAGATGCTCATTTAGAGGCTATTTAAAACTAGCTTCCTTCAATGACTTTGATCAGCAGTCTTCTATAAGTAGACAAGAGATCCCAGAGGGCTTAGAAGTTAAAAGTTGGACTTTTTCCTCGTCTTTTCTATTATTTCCTCTTTCTTGCTGTTCGTTAAAAGAAAAATGAAAATTCCTCTAGTAGCAATTGTAATCTTTAATTATACAAGAGATCCCAGAGGGATCTTGGCGCCCACCATTTGAGGATCTGTTTTCAGTTCTTGAAGATTTGTTTATTTTTTTTTGTTTGTTACAGGTGTTGTAAATGTTCATGAACTGGTCTTCATTGAATGTTCTCAATAATGGCACAAGATATTTTTACTAAGCACCTAATAGCAAATATCATTTGAAAAAGATCCCAAAGTATTATTAGATAGCAGTCAGTTACAGGTGGATAATGGACAATGTGCTTGTGCTGTATTACTGTCGACATCCAAGATGGCTGCCTGTGGGCCACCTTGATTTCAAATCAGTCCAAAAAAGGTACAATGCACAACTAGGGACCAAGGGAAACCAATATCTATGAAATATCAGAAGGATCCATCCAGTACTTCCTCAGATATAGCAGTAACAAGATTTTACTTCCAAAATCCAAGATGGCTGCCTGTCGGCCATCTTGAATTTAAGTCAGTCCAAAAAAGGTACAATGCACAACTAGGGACCAAGGGTAACCTGCATATGAAATTTGAGAAAGATCCATCCAGCACTTTCCAAGAAATAGCGGTAACAAACTTTTACATCCAAAATCCAAGATGGCCACCTGTCGGCCATCTTGAATTGGAATCAGTCCAAAAAAGGTACAATGCACAACTAGGGACCAAGGGGAAACTTCATATGGAATTTGAGAAAGATCCATCCAGTACTTTCCAAGAAATAGCAGTAACAAACTTTTACTTCCAAAATCCAAGATGGCTACCTGTAGGCCATCTTGAATTCGAATCAGTCCAAAAAAGGTACAATGCACAACTAGGGACCAAGGGGAAATGCATATGAAATTTGAGAAAGATCCATCCAGTACTTTTCCAGAAATAGCGGTAACAAACTTTTACTTCCAAAATCCAAGATGGCTGCCTGTCGGCCATCTTGAATGCGAATCAGTTCAAAAAAGGTACAATGCACAACTAGGGACCAAGGGGAACCTGCATATGAAATTTGAGAAAGATCCACCCGGTACTTTTCCAGAAATAGCGGTAACAAGAATTGTTTACGGACGGACCACGGACCACGGACGCAGGGCGATTTGAATAACCCACCATCTATTAGATGATGGGCTAAAAATACAATTTAGCCATCTATCACCCATTTCATTTTGGACGCTGGGCAAATAGAACAACCATTATTGAGGGTGGGCTGAAAAACAGATAACACAGAACTTCCCCAGGAACCTGCCTGGAAATAATTATCTGATAGATTCAAGTTTTTAACCCTTAATGAGACCAGTGCCAGCTAAAAGCATTGGAGAATTATTGCATGATAAGATTAGACCCCACCTAATGCACATAAAAACTTACTCCTAGGGTATTTGATTGGTGACAAAGAAAACAAGAGATCCCAGAGGGATCTTGGCGCCCACCATTTGAGGATCTGTTTTCAGTTCTTGAAGATTTGTTTATTTTTTTCTGTTTGTAACAGGTGTTGTAAATGTTCATGAACTGGTCTTCATTGAATGTACTCAATGATGGCACAAGATATTTTTATTAAGCACCTATAAGCAAATTTCATTTGAAAAAGATCCCAAAGTATTATTAGATAGCAGTCAGTTACAGGTGGATAATGGACAATATGCTTGTGCTGTATTACTGTCGACATCCAAGATGGCTGCCTGTGGGCCACCCTGATTTCAAATCAGTCCAAAAAGGTATAATGCACAACTTGGAACCAAAGGGAACCTGCATATGAAATTTGAGAAAGATCCATCCAGTACTTTCCAAGATATAGCAGTAACAAACTTTTACATTCAAAATCCTGGCTGCCTGTCCCATCTTGATATAGCACAACTAGGGACCAAGGGGAAACTGCATATGAAATTTGAGAAAGATCCATCCAGTACCTTCCAAGAAATAGCAGTAACAAACTTTTACTTCCAAAATCCAAGATGGCTGCCTGTCGGCCATCTTGATTTCAAATCAGTCCAAAAAAAACAATGCACAACTAGGGACCAAGGGGAACCTGCATATGAAATTTGAGAAAGTACCATCCAGTACTTTACCAGAAATAGTGGTAACAAACTTTTACTTCCAAAATCCAAGATGGCCACCTGTCGGCCATCTTGAATGCGAATCAGTTCAAAAAAGGTACAATGCACAACTAGGGACCAAGGGGAACCTGCATATGAAATTTGAGAAAGATCCACCCGGTACTTTCCAAGAAATAGCAGTAACAAACTTTTACTTCCAAAATCCAAGATGGCTGCCTGTCGGCCATCTTGAATTCGAATCAGTCCAAGAAAGAAACAATGCACAACTAGGGACCAAGGGGAACCTGCATATGAAATTTGAGGAAGATCCATCCAGTACTTTCACAGAAATAGCGGTAACAAACTTTTACTTCCAAAATCCAAGATGGCCACCTGTCGGCCATCTTGAATGCGAATCAGTTCAAAAAAGGTACAATGCACAACTAGGGACCAAGGGGAACCTGCATATGAAATTTGAGAAAGGTCCATCCAGTACTTTTCCAGAAATAGCGGTAACAAGAATTGTTTACAGACAGACGGACGACGGACCACGGACGCAGGGCGATTTGAATAACCCACCATCTATTAGATAGATGGTGGGCTAATAAAAGTCCACTTGTCACACAAAACAAAAGAAGAATACTTCTGATTGGCTCTTTGGTAACTACTTTCAATATTTTTAGTCGTTCACACAAATGAAATATCCATGAGAACTGTTTGGACATGTACCTTCACCAAAATTGGCAACACTTGAAAGCCCAGAATTTCAAATGATTACTAATGGGTTAAAATGTTTTACAGTGACTGACATTCAATCCATGCATGACAAATCTGTGAAAATTATTACCATGTTTTCTGGGTTATATGCCACACACTTCATTACAATATGTTGACAGTCGCTACCTTTTTTATGATATGGTGACTACTTTTGTTGACGTCTGATATACCGATAACAGATAATGGAAGACAGTTCTTAGGAAGTGGTAACCGTTACGTTGACCAAAGTTTGTTGATATAACAGACAACTAAGAGCAATTTATCAAGATCATTAGTGAAATATTTAATAAAGTTAGCAAATAAATTCTACACAGATAATCCTTTATTTTACTGATGTATTTCAAAAACTGTGAAATATCAAACATCAAACTTGTTTGGCTTATGGCCTTTACATTTTGTCTAAGCACATATATAGGGCCTGACAATACGTACAGTTTACTAAACAATCTCTCCATCAGTGTCTGTACAGTTAAATATTAACAAAGGCCCTTGCATCCTGGCCAAATTCTTAAAGTCCCCTATTACTTCTTCTTGTAAGTTACATGAAGCCATTTATATCGTTAAAAAGCATGACAGTCATTCTACTGTTAAAACCCTGTGTAATGTGTGCACCTATGTAATATATGCAAGTACTTTTTGGGGTTGAAAATGGTAAAAAATGCTTCTAATTGCATAATAAGTACATCTAAAAATTCAGTCAAAATTGATCTCTGGAAGCCAAGAAATTGATCTCAGAACATTCAGCTAACATGTCAGACCAATGATAGCAAAGTCCAAAACTTTTATTCCATTTACTGACTTATAATTACTTTCTGTTAGAATACAGGGTAGGAAAAAATGCCTAATGCTTCAGAATTTCTTGTTTGTTTTCTTTGACATCAAACACATTACACCTTACCATTTACTTATCTATCCAATCAACTGTTACACTTAACCACTCACTTACCTAACCAATTAACTGTTACACTTAACCACTCACTTACCTATCCAGTTAACTGTTACACTTTACCATTCACTTACCTAACCAATTAACTGTTACACTTTACCATTCACTTACCTATCCAATTTACTGTTACACTTAACCACTCACTTACCTATCCAGTTAACTGTTACACTTTACCATTCACTTACCTAACCAATTAACTGTTACACTTTACCACTCACTTACCTATCCAATGAACTGTTACACTTTACCATTCACTTACCTATCCAATTAAATGTTACACTTTATCATTCACTTACCTATCCAATCAACTGTTACACTTTACCACTCACTTACCTATCCAATTAAATGTTACACTTTACCATTCACTTACCTATCCAATTAACTGTTGCACCTTACCATTCACTTACCTATCCAATGAACTGTTACACTTTACCACTCACTTACCTATCCAGTTAACTGTTACACTTTACCATTCACTTACCTATCCAATTAACTGAACCAGCTGACCTAAATTGAGGCCCCAACTCTGCATATGCTAGCAATCGGCATACAGTTCATGGAATGGAATCACACAGAATGTACTGCAGGCATGTATATGTGTATTGTCAGATGAAGAACAGCATATCATTACACATCGATAATCGTGCCAAGGCTATTCTCTTGTTTTTATTAGACATAAAGATATCATTCAAAAACACAAAAATAATTTTGATAAATATTTAATTAAATCCATAGTCTGATGATAAGGCTCAAACAACACTCTGCATACTATTATGTCAACTAAAACGTCTACTATTACACATGAAAACAGACCATGTGCTCAAAGCTTCTGGTTCGTCGTGATATCAGATTTGAAGGAAAATGAAACAAAACCGGTCAATTTCTTAAGATGTGAACATGTAAGAGTTTAAAGAAATTATTATATTATAATCAACATATATTTCAATGTCCCAAACAAGGCATTGTCTAGTTTTGTCTTACTAGTTGCTATCACATTTATAAACACTTTGTCCTAATTTGCATGATATTGACTTGGAAAATTTGCATTAACATATACAGTAATTATCTTATTTAATATTGTTATTCATAAAGAAATCATCAAATCAAATGTGTGCACCCCCAATATTGGACATTAATTTTCTCAAAAAAAAAAAGAAGAAAACTGTACATTAGGTGGGCAACCTGATGACCTATCAATCCCAGCATGTAAAAGCAAATGGCTACTGTAAACATTTACTATGGCTTCAAAGTAACCTTGGAAGTCCAGAAGATATTATTGTGATGTATATTAAAAGGTATGATTGATTAAATCCACAAGAATGTTATTTTCTTTTCAATCTTCAAACCATTCTGTACATGATTGCAAGACAATCTGTTTCAGTCACAAACAATATGATGGGCAAGTACTCGTAAAAAAAGTTTTAATTGTTTGGTTTTTTTCTCTTTCAAATGAGCTGTATTTCTTACTTTTTTATATAATACAAACAGTTCAAATATAGTGTTTTGGTCTGCTACTCTTTAACTTATTCAAAGAGTAGAAATGAGTCATAAAAAATTCTCTTTTGAAAAAGTTCTTGAAATTGCAGTTAACAGAGGGGAAAAAAGTTGATGAATTCAATGATCAACTGTCCACGGTTGTGATGCCTATGTAAATGAAAATGTTTTGGCTCTAATCAATGCATCATTTATTGGCATTGTGCTATCGTAAATCATATATACATTACCTGAATGCAAACTCATGTACTGGTTGACAAAATTTCAAGCAAAAACTTAGTCCACTATACATCATACAAACAAGAGGGCGGTGGCCCTTAACGATCATCTGAAAATCTATGAATGAATTGACAAACCACAGAATTCGCTGATGGCGGTCAAAAATCTGATGAATTCAAATTTTGAACATTCCTTAACAGTATCAGAAACTCTCAAACGGTAGGTTCAGTTTTGATCAGATTGAAAAGTAACAACAAATCATCTCCTTATTTTCTTTAAAAAAATAAACCTCCAAATATTTTTCTCATTGGTGTGAATAAACATGAGAAGAAATTCAGACTATTTGTTCTAGATAAGTTATGTTGGATTTTGGACCAAAGCATACAATAATGAGAACCCACCTACAACAATGTTTCACACCAAAATTAGTTGAAATCTACCCAGGCATTAACAAGGAGTAGGTTTTAGTAAAATATTGTCTAATTTCCCTTTCCCTTCCCAAGTCCCTTGAAGCTGAATCAAATTTCTGAATTAAGATATGTCCCTCCACCACCAATGTTTCTGACCAAAATTGGTTGAAATCTGCCTTGGTGTTTAACAGGAGTAGTGTTTTAAAGCAAAAGTTTATGGACAGCAAACATGGCACAATGACGGACGACGCATGAAAGCAATAGGTCATCTTGACCCTATGGCCAGATGACTTAAAAAGTAGGAAACTTGCCCATTTAAGGCCAGTCTTTATAAGATGAAGTATGTGTCACAGGGTAAATAGGAGTAAGTGTCTGTAAACATCCTGTTTAATTTGTATTCATTACTGTCCGTGCATTTATGTGTATGTCCTTATTTGGTGAGTTACCTGTTAGGTATTGTCAGTGTCTGTCCTTATATGGTGTTGTCTTGAGACATGTACATGTCCAGGTGGGACAGGTGAGGAAGTCGTGCAAGAGTGAGTGTGTAGGGTAATAAAACTATGGATACTCCTGGATGCTGGGCAGAACCACAGATTAGCCATGTCGCTCTGGATGTCCTCGGGAGTCCAGGCCCCACACATAGTTATGGATGTAAATTACTGACACGACACGACCCGACAGTCGGTGTAGTGAGGTGGTTGCAATCCTAAACTAGGGGTATTAATAAAAACAATCAACACACAAGGAATCCGAGTTGATGGTGCGACATATGTAGTTTCTAAACAGAGATTTTCAAAGAGCTAGTCGATTGGCAGACTCTTGGGAGTTACTATTGAGGAATCTATATTTGAATTGAATGATGTACAGCCATCTTACAGATTGATTTACCACTTGAGAAACTTCAGTGAAGATATATTGATATTTCATGGCAAGCTTTGATGTTTTAATGGTAAAACTGTTAAATGGTGCAAAACATGAAAATATCAAATATTGCATTTTCTTTAGGAGATATTGAAGTTTCTGCAGGAGGTCAAAACATTGTTAAAGGAACTCAAACAGGCAAGTTTCCTACCTTTGTGTATGATGCATAGTGGACTGGACTTTTGCTTGCATTGTTTACATTCCAGATACATGTGCCTGTGCACCAACTCTGTAATATTATTATCCCTAATACATGTAGCACCAACATCTGATTTTTAGTTTAACACATGCTTTGTTACAAGTATACAATATACTCCACACATGAGTAGAGTGTGTCTGCATCAATGTTTATAAACTTTTACCGGATAACTGCAACTCTGCAAGTGTAAGCTATAATTATACGACAGAGAAATTTTGAAATGGTTTATCGATATTTCATAACACCACAAAAACAGGAGGACTGTTACAAACATGTATCTTGTGGTTCAAATAGATTTACTTCATAAATGTCAGTCATAAACTACTGGGAAAAGTAGACACGACGATATTTTTCAGGCGAGACAGTCGACTGTGCTGAGCTTTATAATGCAATTTCATCACACAAATTTTACACTCTCAAAAGTGACAGCAGTTGCAAGACTTAGCATTGATATGTTTACTTAGTTAGTTGTTACAGTGTTTACAACACATAAACTTACATCCAATATTATTGAGTGATAAGGCGACATCGCCAGATGTATATGGTTTAGGAGATGAGGCGACTTGTTGGAGTAGGTTGTCATCAATACTTCGAGTTTGCCAATGCCTTTTCCGAGTTCTTGCGCTCATATTGTCCACAAGGGGTCATAATAAGCCCCGTCGTGGTCATGCATCATTGGTTTATGTGATGACATCACCAAAATCGTTGCTTTTCTTCCCGTTTTCGGGCACAATTACGTCCATGTGTTTACAGCTATGTTTGGCATTCTGGGATTGTTACAATCGCGGGAAAATTAAAATCAGCGGAAACGGCAACGGGAAATATAGTTCCGGATTCTTGGTTAAATCATGCTACAAGTGGTCGTGTTATGCCGGAAGTCACGCATTGGAGGTAAGTTCTGCACATTTGAAAATAAATTTAATATAACGGCTTCACGAGTTTTTGTATCAGCGCTTTTTAATGAAAAATATCATTCATTTGTATTAAATAAAAACATTCGAATACGTATCCGCTAAATCTTGCAAAAGAGAGTATATCATTAAAATGCTTTTGAAAAGTCATATCATATTTGTTGATAAATGACATAACATCTTAAAAAGACACCAAAATAAAATAAATAGTTAATCTATGCGGAAATATTGATTAATTCAAGTTTTGCCAATTTTGTACATTACATTTCATTTTGGATTGGGTATTTATCAATAATAGTAAATCAAGGTTGTGGTATCCATAAAATGATACGAGGCCTCTATGTAACCATGTCATATGCCACTATGATCTCATGAAAAATTCATAACGTTGTTGGAAACAGTGGACCGCTGGAATAAAACCTTTTGTGAAAGGATATTTTTTTTATTATTTCACGGACTAAAATAGATTCTAAGTCCTGTGATTATGTACCCTTTAAACCCTTTGTGTAGAAAGTGTCTTTCGGAGACAAATAGGCTCCATCATCCAACCCTTTTATCTATTTTATTCAACGATCTTCATGTCCACCATTCTGATCTCACCGAGTAACTTCTCCTATCGCTTCTCACTATTAGTGTATAATGGAGTGGGCGTATATTAATGTACTACTATGTTGTGTGTATGTCGGGGGAGGGTGTGGGTAGGGAGTGGAGGGATGGGTGTGTGTGTGCGAGGGTGGTGAAACAGACAGACAGATTGAGAGAGATTGCATGCATGCGTGTGTGTGTGTGTGTGATTTACAGATCAATATATCACTACGGTATACAAAAGATAAGAGTCTACCAGATCCTTATAAAATGACATCGACATCTAACTCGATATGGTGAGGATATCAACTGATACAAAACTCAATGTTAACGTTCATAATTGGCCCTCTTATGTTCTGGTCAATCTGTTACGTTCTAAAATCATAGCAGGCACAATCGAAATTATCAAAAGCACAACTCAAACACGAAAGTTCATTACATTATTGACGCACACAAGTTTCACCCAATCATAGTGAACTAATACATTTTAAACGAAAAATTGCTTGTACCAAACAGGCTTGTCAGTTTGACCAATTGCAGAGACTGATAACGATTGGAGACTTACACATTTAGTGGACAATGAAGATTCAGCATACTGAAAGGAATCTTTCACAGTAAGAATTAATATGTTGAAAAGAACAGGTACATGACATCACTAGCTCAGAACTTTACCTGTAATGGGTGAAGAACTCAAAGTTATTTGTTTTATTTGAAATTGTTCTTCACTCATTAGAAGCCAATCTCTTAATTAGTGTAACACGTTTCTTAATTTTAGTCGAAGGGAAAAGCCGAGGCAGGCAATATCACAAAAATGAAAGTTTACAGAATTAAGTATAAAAATCCCTTTAACGGTAATACCATCGAACACTCGTGATCATATGACGTTGACAAATTATATTCATATAGCTGGGTGATGGCATGCTTGTGTATCTACCGAGGACGAAGTACTTACCCGGTGGGGACAAAACACATCCATATTTCTACCTTGTGAGGGGCAAACTACTTTCACTTAAAACGGTTGGGGGACGGTGCTTGGATACTTATACATACCTTGCGATGAACGCGGTACCTACATTGTGGAGACAGGAGAAAGGGGTTGCATGAGACAAGGGCTGAACTCTGGTAAATACCTAGCGGGGTACGGGGTACCAGTAGTTGATCTGGCACAGAATGCACAGTGTCATGTGTTTCCTCCTTAAATGACAGCATTTCCTTTAGTATATAGTTTACATGGTGTTTATTCTGTGACAGCTCTTTGGTCAGTGCCACGGACATATCCAATGCGAGACTAAACGGCATCGCCTTGTAGCGCTTCGTGAAATTGTAAATGTCATTCTTACGGGATCTGGGTGGATTCCATAATGATCTTCTATGATCCGCAGTGACTACAGAGATAAGGCGCTGTACAGGTATATTTATATATGGTATCTTAGAAATGAATGGGTTGAGGTTTTGGTTTAGAGATATCGAAACACTTGGTTTGATTGGTTGCAGATGTATCTGTCAAACAATGTGGGTGATCGACATTCAAACGCGTACTCTACCGACGTCGGTAACATTTAAACTGTGTGTTTCAGCAGTCTATACGAATTTCAACGTAAAATGCCGAATTTTTAAAACTTAAGATGTCTTAATTTAAGTTTTTAGCTGATGTGATAATAATAATAATAGACTTTATTTTCATTCGATTACACATTGAGTCAAAGACCCTTCTCACATGTGGTCGAAAATATAAAATATACAGTATTTACAGCATAATTAAAACATAGAACATTACAAAATGTTTGTTAATATCACAGAATATAACATTGATATCACAGAATTTCCGAATTATGAAAGATATATGAGTATTCATTATAATAAATTAAGTATTAAAAGTCATGCATACATAAGATCTCATGTCGCATATAAAATATGATTATAAACACTAAATACCTAAGTGTCCAATATACATATATGCCAATGTTTTTAGCTTTAAAACAAGAGACCGCTTGAATGTTATGATTATATATATAATCACAGATAATAAAATGGAAAGCTAAAAGTCTAAAAAAAAAAAAAAAAAAAAAACAGATACATAATTCAATACATGAAATGTATAACATCAAAACCAGCAGTATAATTTAAAATTTATTTTTTAGTACATCTTGTATATCCCAGGATTACATTCACACCTAAAAGTTTTTCCATTACATTTACCATCTGAGATATCAAGACCTTTTGAAAGCCTTTGTTTCTTCTGCCTACTACCAGTTACCATGGTTTTAGTTTTTTCTGAATTTATAACCATTTTATTGACATTACACCAATTTCTAACTTTGTCAAAGTCATCTTGCAGGCATGATTCAATGACATTGATATCATTGTCTGCTTTTTGCATAGACGTATCATCTGCATACATAAAGAGTTCACATCGATTTGAACAAAGTGGCAGGTCATTAAAATATACTAAAAACATCACGGGGCCTAGTATGGATCCTTGAGGAACACCAGTTTCGACTTCAAGGAAATTACTGAGTACATCGCTGAATGAAACTTTTTGGAGTCGATTAGATAAGTAGGAAGCAAAGAAACTAATAGTTTTTTTGGAACAGCCATATAATTTCATTTTTGAAGGAGGATCTTGTGGTTCACTAGGTCGAAGGCTTTACGAAAGTCTATATACATTACACCTATAAGATTCCCTTTGTCCCGTTCATCATACCATCGGTTGGTGAGAGCAGTAAGGGCAGTTTGACAGGAGTGCATATTACGAAAACCAGACTGGTTATCAAGGAGTATGTTATGCGTATTTAAAAACTGGTAAAAAGTAGACTGAATATGTTTCTCTAAAAGTTTAGACAAAACTGGAAGAATGGAAATTGGTCGATAATTACGGACTGAACATTTCTCACCCTTTTTAAAGACAAGATTTATTTTAGCATGTTTGAATTGGTCAGGAAAAACATTCATTTCAATACACATGTTTAATAGCTTTGTTACTGAATCAGACACGGAATCTGCTGACATTCTCAGATATTTGGCTGAAATTCCATCTAGGCCCGTAGCTTTCTTACAGTCAAGATTTTTCAGGAATTTGTTAACAAAACTATATGAAATCTTTGGTATATCATAGAATGTATTTGAAGGGAGCTTTTGAGAAACAAAATTTTGAATTTTATAAAAATGGTGTGCAGGAGTTTCATCACTTGTTTCAGATATGTATTCTTTGACTATGTCAGTAAAATAACTATTAAAGGAATTTGCTATTTCTATAGGATCATCAATTTGTTTCTCATCTGCTAATATAAAGTCTGGTATACTATTACACTTGTTTGGAACAAGTTGTTTGAAATATTTCCAGTACTTGTTTGGTTCTTTTTTGCATGAATCAAGAACATTTTTGTAAAATTCATTTTTTGCTTTTTTTAACCAGGGCTGTTTCACGATTTCTCCATTTTTTTATACAGTTCACTATTTGAGAGATGTTTATGGTTATCTCTAGTTCTGATTGCTGTAGACAGGTCTTCATTCCACCAATCAGGAATAGTTTTGTATTCTACCCTTTTTTCTTTAAAAGGCACATTTTTATTTAGGATATTAAGGAAGGTTTTACTCCAGGATTCGATTGGCTCATTTATATCCTCAGTGGATTTCACTTCAGGGAGATCCCAGTGAGCAGAATCTAGGTCATTTTTGAAAACTGATTCATCAAAGTTTTTGGTGCATCGGTATCGAATGGTATTGATTCCAGATGATTTTTTGCCATCAGAATTCTTTATTGCATACACTGGGTAGTGATCACTAACACTAACTCGGCTAGTGTCACACACGGGGAATAAGTCAGGTATGTTTGTCCAAATATGGTCGATGCTACTGGAAGTGGTTTCTGTAGTTCTTGTTGAGACATTAACAATATTATAGAGTCCATAACTCTCCATGTCAGAACAAAGAGACTTATAAGAAGTACACATGTTGACAGAGTTTAAATTGAAGTCTCACAATACCACCATGGACACATTATCTGATGATAAAGCGTCAAGCGTAGCTTCCAGATGTTTCAGCCAAATTGAATTTGCATCGTGTGGTCTATAGATAGAGCACACAAGAAAGGGCTTAAAATTATTTTGGCGTATGTCAATCCAAGATAATTC